GGTTGGAGAGGACTCGTTGAAGACAATTAACGTTGTTCTGCAAGGAGGACAAAGCTGTGTTCATGGAAGAACTGCATGCATATAAAATGATGTCATCTGCATATAACTGCATATGAGAACTGTCAACAGCGTGAACAATGTTATTAATATAGATTTTGAATAAGGTTGGGCCCAGTATCGACCCTTGAGGAACGCCCATAGACCAAGGTAGAAGCGCAGATTGGTAACCCTCTGTTCTCCTGCGTACGGTCTAAGATAAAACTTCTGAACCATGCCACAGATGCCTGAGAAAGTCCTGTATGTTCGAGCCTGCTAAGTAAGATGTTATAGTCTACAGAGTCAAAGGCTTTAGCCAAGTCAACAAACACAGCTACACAATATTCCTCATTGTCAGTGGCACATATGATGTCATTTAGCTCTATACGTGTTACAGAGACACATCCATGGCCAGTTCTGAAGCTGGGCTGCATGGGGTAAAAATACTGCTGGATTCCAGATAGTGAGTTAGCTGTTTGTTGACTAACTCATTTTCATTGACTTTAGAAAGGCAAGGCAGGATAGAGATAGGTCTATAACAGCTTAGGTCCAAAGGATTTCCCCCTTTAAAAAGTGGAGTAACAAATTCCCAGTCCTGCTGAAGGGCACCAGTTTGTATGGATAGAAGAGTTTTGAATGCAAACACACAGATGATTTACATGACTGTTGCAGCACAAGACGATGTGACAGAGATGTTGGAGATATCTGAAGGCCTCGTTAATTAGTTAGTGAAGGTTATATCTGCATCTAGTCAGTAGTTGGAGTCCACCTCAGACCAGAGGCTACAGCTACGAAAGCAGGATTCAGGTTTAGTTAGGGTGAATTCAGATCTGATCCTGGGTCAGGATTCTACCTGGGTCATGCTAGTGCTGTGGACCCCTGATCCAGAATTTAACACTGCAGCTGAAAACAGAAGGCATAAAGACTACATGTTTCACTCATTAATTTAAAGTAATTATTAACATTTAATGAACTTGAACAAATTATGTTAAAATGTGGTATTGGTCATCTCTGGGCCTGTTTCATTCAGGGGTTGACCATAAAGTTCTGCATATCTTCTTCGTTAACCCAGAGCACCAGCTTTAACCTTTTTATTTGTTTCCCACAAATCTTGTTCTGTAACAGGGACTTAGACGTGTCACCGTAGATAGGTTTCATTCCCCCTGAGGGAGATGGGTTAGGGGTTCACTATAGCTGCAGGCACAAAGTTAATGCAGGGAGGTTGGTGTGTGCTTTTCAGAGCAGTAGCTCAGGAGATAGAGCGGGTTGTCCAGCAGTCGGAATATTGTTGGTTCAATCCCAGCTCCCACCAGAGAATGCTGCCGTTGTGTCCTTGGGCAAGACGCTTAACTCGCCTTGACTGCTGGAGGTGGTCAGAGAGAGTGGCGGCGCTGGACTGTGATTGGTTCATTTCTCATTTAGTCCCACCTGTTCCATTTGCTGATTGGCTTTTTCCTGTTGTTCCACTTTTTTCGTTCTCTGATTGGATTTTCGTAACTGTGCAATTTTTGTTGAGATGTCTTTAATTTGTTCATTGACAAAAATGTTGATCAATGTTCGCCATAATTTTGTCTTTATAGACGTATCTTTTCTGTTTTCCTTTAGTTCATTCATCACAAAAAACACAAAAATATTTTGTCAACAAAATTAAGACTGGTGCTGTTAAAGTGTCAAATATGAAAGATATGAGATCTTTGGTAGTTTCTCTGTAGATGTACTGAAGTGGAACGTTCACCATCTGTATCAGAGTAAAATAACTCCAATCCTAATATAAGGTAAAGCTTTTATTCCCCCCCCAGTACAGCTAAGTGACGCTCAACTGGTTTTGTGAGGTCATGGTTTTTAGTCTGTTTCTCCCTCTTTTATCCAAATAACCCAACCGTTTCATTCACAAGAGAAACAGATGTTATGTTAGCATTTCAAGCTTTGGAAGGAGGTTTTACTTAAGTTTACTTGAGATTTGGTTTAGTTGTATCTTTTATTGTAGAAATCCTTCCTGTTAATGAAACATGACTAGTTTAAAAAGCTCTAGTCTTAGAAAAACAATAAAAGACATCAAACATGGACTGTTTTAGAGGCAGAAATGCACTCTGTGTGTGTGTGTGTGTGTGTGTGTGTGTGTGTGTGTGTGTGTGTGTGTTTGTGTGTGTGTGTGTGTGTGTTTTATTTGTTCTTATTGCTCCACATGTTAAAGTTGGACAGCTGTGTGTTCCTGGAATCTCGGAACCAGGACTTTTGGAGGAGGTTTTCCTGGAAAGCCAGCCTCGCCGTATGTTCTTTCAGAGCTCAGTTTTCTAGACATTGAACTGGGTGCAGCCAACAGTCAGAGGAAAACACTCTTATTGTGAACCAAAACACACCACCATGCCCCCTTCACTGCTGCAGTAACATGTGCTCACTGTTTAACATGCCGGATCATCACTTTAACACGAGTAAACACTTGTGTTAAGTTTGGATCTGCTGTAAAACACACTGTCTTTGTAAACAGCCTTAAATCTATGACATGTTTTTTGCTCTTTACCAGCAACACACACACACAAACATGCACGCACACGCACACACACACACACACACACACACACACACAGACTTACAAATACCATCTCAATTCTTAGTATTCCGCTACTGTTGCACATACTGTTGCATAAGGCTTTGCTCCTGGATTGGAAATGGGACGCAGTGTGAAGCAGCCAACCAGACCCAGTGGTGCTCAGATTCCTCATAGTCAAAATTATGTTTGCGTGTGTGTGTGTGTGTGTGTGTGTGTGTGCGCGCGTGCCTACGTGGGCTTCAGATCCCACTAAATCAGAATCCCTCCATCTCCACCCAGCCTGTAGCTGTAGTTTCCTGTGAAGCCATGACATGAGTGTGAGCCTGTTATGACAGCAATTCTATTTATATCACAGCTTGTTTTGGAATATCTTGTGCTGCAAATGATTGTTTTGGAGCTCTGCTCTCAGCCAGCAACCGGCCATCTGTGACCAAAGACCACTGATTTTTTTTTTTTTATCATGGATGCAGCCAATGTGTGAACAGAACCTTCCAGACAGCACTGGCTCATGAACACATCCAGTAGTCTCTTTCCTAACCGTTAACTGCTGCTTCCTCTACAAACACAAACAAAGGCAGCCCTATGTGCTGCTGTCACCACCTGCCTGTTGAAACGTCTCCTGCAGCAGAAGCCTCCTGTCCTGCCTGCTCCGTGTTTAGTTTTCCACAGCTGTTCTTCAGCAATGAGCAGCCGATTAGGAAATGCCTGAGCTACTTCAGAACCATATGGAGAAACAAACCCATTATGGCCCGGCTCAGATGTTTGGTTGACCTTTGTTCTCATGATGAAGTTCCTCTTATTAGGACTGGGAGGAGTCCTCAGACAAACCTGGGTCCAGAATCTTTTCCTTTATTATCTCAGCTGGTTCTTTAGCGCCTGATGTTTTTTGTTTTGAGGTAGTTTAGTTTAGTTTTATTTGTCATATGCAAGTTAGCACAGGGTCAACATTGCAAAGAAATGTGTTTGACGAGCAGCGGTCTCTCAGCAGCATAATACAATAGAAAAAAGAAGGTATAATACAGTAAAAGCAAAATATTAGAGAGTCATGCTAAAAGTAAAAGCTTACTAAATAGATAAGTAAGTATAGATGACTAAATATAAATATATCTAAAAAAAGTGAGTAGTAACATTAAAATGAAGTAACCAGTTCAGATTAAATTTTACTTGTGGAGCTGCAGGGTAACATCTGTATCCTGTGTTGTGTGTGTTTAAGTGTGTGTTTAAGTGTAATGGTTGAGGTAACATTTTTGCTGAGATGACTGGGAGCTCTCGTCGGTGCAGCCATCTTACGGCGCAACCGGATCCGGAGTTGTGTCTTCTTCAAACTTATTCTAGATGAGATGTATGAGGTAAACTATGATAAATGAAGCCATTTCCATTCTTAATGTCAAATTTACTTTAGATCAACAACAACAAAAAAACCTTGTTAATTTGGAGTTTTGGTCTTCTCCATCAGCTGCTGAACCACAGATCCCTTTTTACCCTCCATCCTGATGGAACAACGAGATCTCGACACTGGATGTGTCTCGCGATAACACTGACTGGATGTGTGTTGGGAGTATCTGGCCTGAGTTTTCCAAATAAATCCTATGAAATTAAATCACATTTAAATTTCAAATGGCTCCTCTGTACTGTGATATATGTCATATTGCCAGTAAACACTCCTACTCTATACTGGTCGCATGAAGCACCAAGTGAAACAGATTGAGTTGATAGATGTTTGAAAGAAGCGTGTGTTGTTGTGTGGATGTGTTCCACTGGCTGTTTTCCCTGCTGTTGACTCTGACAGCTGCTTCTAACTGATTCTGTCTCTCTTCTCTTCCAGGAAACTCCCAGCTCTGTATTTCTGGTCATGGAGGTAAGTGCAGAACCACGTGTGTGTGCATGTTTCATATGTTGCTGCTTCAATCATCATATTGTGATTTTACATGCTTATTAATTTTTTAATGTTGCACTATCATGGATTATTCATGTGAGACCATGTGGCTCCCATAGCACCATAAGAGATTGCTCTGTTGCTAATGTGGCTAACTCACTAGCTTTGTGTGGATGCTCAGACCAGACCAATGGATAAGGCTCCAGATATTTTGCTCATGGTATCTGGGCTGAGATTGAACCCCTCTGAGTCTGACATATTTCACTTTGGCTGTGTGCTTGTGTGCAGTACTGCAATGGAGGGGATTTGGCTGACTATCTGCAAGGTATGTAACTCACTCACTCACTCACTCACTCACTCACTCACTCACTCACTCATGAGCGAACTAGCCCTACACACAATTGTAACTAACGTAGCAACATAAAAATTGTGCACCTGTCCTCTGTGCTTTTACTGGTGTACCTGTTCTCTGTGCTTTTACTGGTGCACCTGTCCTCTGTGCTTCTATTGGTGCACCTGTCCTCTGTGCTTTTACTGGTGTACCTGTTCTCTGTGCTTTTACTGGTGTACCTGTTCTCTGTGCTTTTACTGGTGCACCTGTCCTCTGTGCTTTTACTGGTGCACCTGTCCTCTGTGCTTCTATTGGTGCACCTGTCCTCTGTGCTTTTACTGGTGCACCTGTCCTCTGTGCTTCTATTGGTGCACCTGTCCTCTGTGCTTTTACTGGTGTACCTGTCCTCTGTGCTTTTACTGGTGCACCTGTCCTCTGTGCTTCTATTGGTGCACCTGTCCTCTGTGCCTCTATTGGTGCACCTGTTCTTTTACTGGTTCATCTGTCCTCTGTGCTTCTGTTCACTGATAATGATTATGGTGAGACCTGTGTTCTGTCATACTGGGTCAGTGTAGAGTTAAACCACTGGATTTACCTCCCAAACCGTAACTATTACTCATCTCTCCACACAAACAGAGAAAAGGTTAGTATTGGCAAACGGGCTTGATGAAACACCAACGTTATTATATATATATATATATGTATATGTATATATATGTATATGTATATATATATGTATATGTTTATATATATATATATATAGTTTTAGCTATTTTAGGGGGATATGTGTGTGCAGGTGACTATTACTGTGCATAATTATTAGGCAACTTAACAAAAAACAAATGTATACCCATTTCAATTATTTATTTTTACCAGTGAAACCAATATAACATCTCCACATTCACAAATATACATTTCTGACATTCAAAAACGATACAAAAACAAATCAGCGACCAATATAGCCACCTTTCTTTGCAAGGACACTCAAAAGCCTGCCATCCATGGATTCTGTCAGTGTTTTGATCTGTTCACCATCAACATTGCGTGCAGCAGCAACCACAGCCTCCCAGACACTGTTCAGAGAGGTGTACTGTTTTCCCTCCTTGTAAATCTCACATTTGATGATGGACCACAGGTTCTCAATGGGGTTCAGATCAGGTGAACAAGGAGGCCATGTCATTAGTTTTTCTTCTTTTATACCCTTTCTTGCCAGCCACGCTGTGGAGTACTTGAACGCGTGTGATGGAGCATTGTCCTGCATGAAAATCATGTTTTTCTTGAAGATGCAGACTTCTTCCTGGACCACTGCTTGAAGAAGGTGTCTTCCAGAAACTGGCAGTAGGACTGGGAGTTGAGCTTGACTCCATCCTCAACCCGAAAAGGCCCCACAAGCTCATCTTTGATGATACCAGCCAAAACCAGTACTCCACCTCCACCTTGCTGGCGTCTGAGTCGGACTGGAGCTCTCTGCCCTTTACCAATCCAGCCACGGGCCCATCCATCTGGCCCATCAAGACTCACTCTCATTTCATCAGTCCATAAAACCTTAGAAAAATCAGTCTTGAGATATTTCTTGGCCCAGTCTTGACGTTTCAGCTTGTGTGTCTTGTTCAGTGGTGGTCGTCTTTCAGCCTTTCTTACCTTGGCCATGTCTCTGAGTATTGCACACCTTGTGCTTTTGGGCACTCCAGTGATGTTGCAGCTCTGACATATGGCCAAACTGGTGGCAAGTGGCATCTTGGCAGCTGCATGCTTGACTTTTCTCAGTTCATGGGCAGTTATTTTGCACCTTGGTTTGTCCACACGCTTCTTGCGACCCTGTTGACTATTTTGAATGAAACGCTTGATTGTTCGATGATCACGCTTCAGAAGCTTTGCAATTTTAAGACTGCTGCATCCCTCTGCAAGATATCTCACTATTTTTGACCTTTCTGAGCCTGTCAAGTCCTTCTTTTGACCCATTTTGCCAAAGGAAAGGAAGTTGCCTAATAATTATGCACACCTGATATAGGGTGTTGATGTCATTAGACCACACCCCTTCTCATTACAGAGATGCACATCACCTAATATGCTTAATTGGTAGTAGGCTTTCAAGTCTATACAGCTTGGAGTAAGACAACATGCATGAAGAGGATGATGTGGACAAAATACTCATTTGCCTAATTATTCTGCACTCCCTGTAGACCAGAACCGGACACACCTGCTCTTAATTGTCTCTTGGTGTGATTGGTTGCATGTCCTGTTTGTCTCTCTATGTCCCTGTGATGGACTGCTGACCTCTCCAGGTCTATGGATGTTCTGTTTCGTTCCCTCCTGACTGCCAGTGGCAGTAAACAGAGTGGATGTATTTCCTCGCGCTCTGCGCAGGTCGAGTACTAATGTAAACAAAGTCATGCACGTGACACGTAGCGCACCTGGTCGCGAGTCTATAAATTACGCGCCGATAGCTACGTTCGGGTCTCCCGGGATCTTCTCGCCCGAGAAGTTCCGAGTGACCTCTGTGACTGGCAGTCATCCAGGAACTCACAGAACCATAGTTACACCGTAACTTCCGTTATCAGCTTAGAATGTGTTTCCGACAAGTTTTAGCCTGGCCTGTCTATTCTACACAGAGGAGTCTGGATACTCATAGGCAGAGAGCACCATGAGGGGTGGGACTAGCCAGCTCAAAAATAAACAATCAGAAAAAAGGCGGAAATGACGACTGTATCGCATGTTACTGTAGAGTTTTAGCTGGCGGAGGAGTTTAAAATGGGTTTATTTGTAACAAAAAGGTATTAAAACACAGGCAAACAGATCTCTCTAAAAAGGTTAACATTACACAGCCAAATCAACTATAAAACACCTGGTTAAAACTTATATTAAAAGTTTAACCAAGCAGAAGGTGTTTTAAAATCCCAAAGTTGATAAAATGTCCCAAACAATTTACTGATTAAGACACCTGGTAAAAGCTTATTTTAAAAGCTTTACCACACGAAGGTGTTTAAAAACCAAAGTCAGTAAAATTGCACCAAATACAGTTAACCTTTAAAAATCTTATCACCAAGATTTAAAAACTACCACAGTTTAAAACTCCAACGAATCCAAACGAATGCACCCAAAAAGGGGTTAAAACCAAACAAAACCCAGGAGGACAGCAGATCCCCTGCACTGGCGCAAGCATCTTTCTTCAGAAGAAAGGCTTTTAGTGCTTCTTCTTGATGTGGGTTTACTGACGTGTCCAAGTCATTTAGAACAGAGGACAGAGCTGCAGCAAAATCCACTTCAGACAAAGTCTTCGTTGTTTATGAGAAAATCAGCGTTGCGGTGTGTGATGTACGCTGCTCAGCGCTGATTGGCTCGGTTAGAATTCTCAAGGGGTGGGGTTATTTGAATGGGTGCATTACCAGGCCCTTTGCTTCCCATAAGGAAGCTTTGGCATGGCTGGCCAGGCTAGCAGGTTTACCATTCCGACCCAAAACAGGTTAGTCTTCCTGTTTGGGTCGGTTCAGAACTAGAACCAGAACCTGGTTTGTTTTTGGCCAGAGTTTTAGTTCATTTGGCTCATTCAGTCTGCTGCTGGCTAGAGACCTACTACTCTGAGTTAAATGAAGACGTGAATGTACAGTGTTTCTGTAGAAACAGCATCACACACACACACACACGCACGCACGTACACACACACACACACACACAGAGAGAGAGAGATGTGAAATACCAGGCGTACACCACAAGTGAAACACAGGCAACATAAAACTGCCCCAGGAAGTGAAGTGAGTCTTCTTTCTCCTTTCTGAAGCTAAGGGGACACTCGGAGAGGACACACTGAGGGTTTTCCTCCAACAGATTGCTGCTGCCATGAGAATCCTCCACAGCAAAGGCGTCATCCACCGGGACCTGAAACCACAGAACATTCTCTTGTCCTACGCGGGACGCAAGAAGTCCAACATAAGTGGCATCCGCATCAAAATAGGTGAGCGACTCGCAGTAGTCCATTGGTGAAGCTGATTGATGACGTCTCTGATGTTCTTTGATACAGAAGCTTAAAGGAGATACAGTTAAATATATTTTTGAACCAAAGAACAATGATTTCTGCATCAGACTTCAGCTGCACTGAGTTTTGGATGTTTCTGGGTGTGTTTTTCTCACTTGCCTACTGAGGAAGGAGATCATGTGTTTGTTCATCTGACAGCAACATATTTCCTGAACCACTGGACTGGACTCTCAAAAATCTCTCCACCTCAGTCAGGTTACCAGACACTGAGCTACAATCTGTTAGCAGCTGAGCGTGATAACAAACCACATGATGATGTTTGGGTCGGATGTGGCTTTAACTCAAAGTCAGAGTAGAGGATGACGTGTCAGGTGATGTGACTCCCTTCTGGGAGTGATGGGGCATGGTTTCCCAGACATTGTCCTGATTTAAAACCACAGGTTTTATTAGAGCGTGTGTGTGTGTGTGTGTGTGTGTGTGTGTGTGTGTGTGTGTGTGTGTGTGTGTGTGTGTGTGTGTGTGTGTGTGTGTGTGTGTGCGTGTGCGTGTGCGCGTGTGTGTGTGTGTGTGTGTGTGTGTGCGCGCGCGTGCGCGAATGTTATCTCACTGCTGAATCTCCTGCTTCTGTCCTGCAGCTGACTTTGGCTTCGCTCGATATCTCCAGAGCAACATGATGGCTGCCACGCTGTGTGGCTCACCCATGTACATGGTCAGTAGTCCTTTTTGTGTGTGTGTGTGTGTGTGTGTGTGTGTGTGTGTGTGTGTGTGTGTGTGTGTGTGTGTGTGTGTGTGTGTGTGTGTGTGTGTGTGTGTGTGTGTGTGTGTGTGTGTGTGTGTGTGTGTGTGTGTGTGTGTGTGTGTGTGTGTGTGTAGGGGGTCACCTGTAAATAAGCTGTTTAGGAAACAGATCAACTTGAACCTTCTGCTCCGTAAGCACCTCTGCTGTGTTCCGGGTCTTACTTTGCTCTGACCTTTCTCAGGCCCCAGAGGTCATCATGTCCCAGAACTACGACGCCAAAGCTGACCTGTGGAGCATTGGGACCGTCATCTATCAGTGTCTGGTTGGGAAGCCCCCGTTCCAGGTTGGTACGGCTCACATGTTGTTAATACATGTGATTATTACTCTATATCTGTGTCTTATTCCAGCTCTGTGTCCCATTTCTCAGGCCAATAGCCCCCAAGATTTAAGGCTGTTTTATGAGAAGAACAAAAACCTGCTGCCTGTGTAAGTTTGATCTCGTAACTAAACACACATGCAGCTGATTTAAGTGCTTTTCTGCTTTGGGCTCATGTAGCTTTACTAGTTTGTCCAGCATGAGCTGTAGTTTATTCATGCTGTTACTTTGACACATTATTATAAACATGGTGCTGATGTTCCCATCATACAGAATCCCGAGGGAGACGTCCCCACATCTCGGTGAGCTTTTGCTGGGTCTACTGCAGAGGAACCAGAAGGACAGGATGGACTTTGGTGAGTGTTTACAGATGAGGGTACGGCGGGTGGTTTTAAAGCCCTGCTGTAATGCTGCTCTGTCAACGTCTCTGCTCTGCAGACACATTCTTCAACCATCCGTTCCTCGAGGCATCATCCACTGTGAAAAAATGTAAGCAGGGTAAATTCCTGAACCGTTGCTCCACTTTCCCCATCACCCACCTTGACGCTGTGATTAATGGTAAGTTTGTTTTCCCAGCATGCCCAGTGCCAGTCCCCAGCGCCTCCAACGCTGTGACGGAAAGTTCCTGTGGCAGCTCCCCGTGCATCCGCTACAGTTCTCCTCCTGTGAGTCTGATGTAGGGATTACTACTGCACCGTTACCAGGTTAATGGAGCATTTATCTGGCCTCCCTGGCGTTTACAGTGCAAACGACCTTAATACAGGAGAGAGAAGAAGACCAGAGCAAGGCACACTTGTTTTATCGCTCTCTGTCTGGTGGCTGATCTTAGTTCGCAGCAGTGGAAGTAGAATGAATGAGGTTGTCAGTCTTGTTACTAGTATTTAGTGGCTCGCCTGACGGCAGAGCCCAATCTGAGCACTTTATAGCCTTTTGTAGGTTATGTAATAATTTATTGTTTGTTTTTCTTCGTGGCTCCGCTGTCTGAATAGTCTCTCCCGGACATGCAGACTCTAGCTGAGGATGGTCTGTCTTCCCCTCCGCTCGGCCCACCCAACTACCTGCAGCTGTCCAAAGAGTCTGCAGGAAGCACCAGCAGCAAGAACTCCTCCAGTGACACAGATGATTTTGTTCTGGTGCCTCACATCTCAGCTGACAGCTGTAAGTGGCTCAGCCTGCATGCTGCAGGAATAATTTACCTGTAACTCACCTCAGCGTGGAACCCAGAGCCTCAGCTGCAGGTTTCTGAGTGCCTATAAGGGTTCCTGTGAGGTGGTTGATCAGTTTCTGTTACTGCACACCTGTGAGAAACTGGTTTTATTTTCCACTGACACAAAGAAGACAAAGAAAATTCATATATTTTATTAAAGTAAAAACTTTTGTTTAGTAGGGATGCTGATTGTTGTTTTATACGAAATAAACTCCAAAAATGTATGATTGTGGAAGTAAAAGCATCCTCATGGCGCATCTGCTATTGCTATGAATTAGTGCCTAGCAATTATCCATTATTAGCTCTATGCATTAATAGACTCACACACACACACACGTCAGTCTGTTGCTCGCTCGCTCCTTCCGACTCATGTGATTTTCATATTTTTGATCCACAGATGAGCAGCCTGCGGGAGCCGGCCGTCGACCATCCACCGAGTTCCTGATGTGTGGGAGGTAAGAACAACCCGGTTATTACTGAAGATGATTCTGTTGGTTGACTAGTCAGTCATCAGTCGGTGTTTAGATCTCTGCCTGCTTCCACCTCCTGCATTGGGTTCCAGTCCAGGTCTTACCTCACCTGCTCAGGTCTGCCCACCTGTGAATGTCACTCTGAGTCTTTGCATCATCGCAAATAAATCAGAAACTAACCAGGTGTTGGAGGAGGTTTACTCTAATGCACACACGCACGACTGAAAGAGGAGCAGCTCCGACTATCCAGTAAAACTTAAACACGTTAGTATCCAAAAGGATGTGAACTTAATCATTCATGAGACCTTGATGCAAATATTTCAGCACAAACATCAACATTAATGGTGTCAGCGAGACATAACTGTGTGTTTAGTGATGTGCTCCCACGGTCCGTTTCACCATTAAGACTGATTTATACTTCTCTGTAGGGCTGCACGATATTAGGAAAACCTGCGATGCGCAATAACGTGATTAATATTGTGATGACTTGCAATAAATAAATAATTAAAGGGACATTATGGAAGTTTGACAGCCAAAACGTGTAGAAATAATAAATTTCTTCTTCATACATTCTCCTGCAATGCCCTGGTCCTGTAGAATGAGCCCTGGCATTTTTACTGTGATTGCCTGTTTTTCTGTAAAATCACAGAAAAAGAGAGTTGCTCGGGTCGAGCAGGCTGCTTCATGTGCGTTCACGCTCAGGCATAGCCCGTAGCATTTGCTATCAGTAGCTTTAGCAGCAGAGAGAGAGAGGTAGTGCCAACTCAGCAACTTTGTTGCTGTTCCTAACGCCTAGTGATGAATCTAGCTACATTTCTGAGGACCCTTAGCTACTTTCTTCTAGATATTTCCTGCAAATTAGCAACAAAATAGCCATTTTCTCTCCGAACCGTTCTTTGAACGTTTTTTCAGCTGTCCTCAAGGATATAAAAGTTACAGATACAAAATACGTCACTGGCGCTAAACTCACCTGGTAAGACGTTGGACTCCCGTGCAGAAGACCCGGGTTCGAATCTGGATGTGAACATTAGTCTTTTTTTTACATTAATGGTATATTTTTTTACAGTAAGGTGCCCAAATTTTTATTTGAGACTCGCCGAACGGCATTGAATTCACAGATAAAAAAGATGTGGGTTCAACTTTCATTTTGGAACAATTTTTCAAGCAAGGGAAGGGAATGATCTGAGCATGCAGGAGGACTGACCCATCATAAACCTTTGTCAGCTGTGCTGAAGAGAAAGGTACAGAACCAAATTATTTAATTAATTAGCTGCGCGTTCTCCTGTCCTCTGGCCACACACACACACACACACACACACACACACACACACACACACACACACACACACACACACACACACACACACACACACACACACACACACACACAGGACTGTCTCAGCTGTTATTTTCGTTAAGGAGTGTGCACATACAGCATGCACACCTCGTGCACGAGCCTACTATTGAAGCTGCCGTTGCGTTTTTGGCCTGAGGGGGCAATCGCGAGCGTAAAAATTCAAAACTCCGTAAAGTCCCTTTAACAGAAGAACAAAAAAAATCAATTGAAGATTTCAAGAATATAATAAATGGGAAAGGCAAAAATTGTGATCAAAGGATTCGAGGAAAGGGAAAATAAAAAGGAGCGAGAAAAGGTAATTAGTGGATCCTGCGAAACGCAGAAAGAGCAGAGCGAAGCTAACTCAAGTGTTTGCTGGCCTTCCAAATGAAGAGCCGTCCGCCAAGAGGGTGGGCGTCTGCCCTATAAGAACCCACCCGATTGGCCAAATGGGTGAAGAGCTCTATTGGATCAGTCAAAAATATCGTGTTTTGTTTTAATGGCAAAATACATTATGTGTAGCAAACGTCTGAGCTGACCAATTACTGCGGTTTTTCTGTTCTTAATGATGCGTATTGCACATGCTGATATCGCGATGATGTGCATCACTACTTCTGTCAGCTCTGCAAGGGAGAGATGCACATGTGAAATCGTTTGCGTCTAGAACAGCTGTTTCTGAATAGCTGAAGGGACCGTTTTACTGTGTCAGCTGTAGGCAGCTTTTAGCTTGTCGAAAGCTTTGGGTTGAAGAGGGTTCGCTTCGGATGGCCTGTCCGTAGCTTTCTCTAGAACTAACTCACCATCTGGTGAGCTCTGTTTTAATATTCTCATATCATGATTTTTTGGCCAACCGGGACGTGCCATGTTAAGGGGTGTTCACAAGCAAACCTCAGAACGTCAAGCCTCTTTCAGATACAGGATGTTCTGATTTGTGGCTAAGAAAATATCTGTGTGTCATGACGTTTAACTTAACTTTAATTTATCTCTAATGAACCTTGTGTCTTAGTGTAGATAATGATTCACTTGTTGAATCTAAAATTACTGATCATAATATCAAAATGTTTGATTTCAACCACAGTGATTTAAGCACAGATTAATCAAAACATTTCATTAGTATTCATATAACATTGGTTCATCCATTTCACGATTGATTAACTCATATCAGCTGAAAATAGTCACTTTATTGATTTATTGAGTGAGCAATCCTGCAGTGTTATCAGAAGAAGGCTTTGTTTGGGAACACAGGCTGACATCGTGTTCTTCCTGAAATGTCAACAAGATCTGCAGAACCTTGTTGCTTGTTGGAAGGTAGAATGTAAAATCCACCTTAGAGAATGGAATGTATGTCTGCCGGTGACCGGTGGCATGTAGGTCAGTTTTTAGGTGAAAACTGACCATTGATGGACACATGCATTCACAGACATTTATCTTCAGACTTCTCAGTCAGTCTTCCCTTCTTTGTCTCCATGTTCTGTTTTCTGATCACTTTGTCCGCATGAAATCAAATACATTTAAATGGTTTATTATTGTGTTTAGTTTCTGTTGAAGTGAGAAGAGAAATCGCTGGTTGTTGTTGTGGTCCTGGTAAAACCAGCTCCCAGTAGGATCATACCTAAATCAGTTGCTCAGACTGGAGCAATCAGATGAGGCATGGTGGTTAAATCTCAGGTTTTAGATAAACACAGATCTAGACTGTCTAGACTGGACAGAGTAGAAGCCATCCTCTAGTTAAACCTGCAGAATTAAATACGTTGCTTTTCTTTTTTTGCCGTTTCTTTGATTTTAAACATTACCTGTTGAGTTATTCTAAGTTATTCTGTTGTTTTTGTCATGCTCTTCCTTTTCTTGATGGCCTGCAGTCAGACTCGACTCTGCACCCGTCCCTTCCTGGTTTTTATCTGGTGTAAAAACTAGCCTGTTCTCTTTTCATATTTATCTGATTAATATTTATCTGTCTCACCTCCCTTCAGCCCGCCTGTCTGTCCTTGTCCCCTGTAACTCCTTACATAATTTAACCGGAACGGTTCACTTATCACTGGTAACATATTTACAGTCAAAACAATCATGTTTATTGGGACTATGCTGTGTTCTGGACCACCGGAGTGGAGAGAAAGGAGGCCGTCAGAATAAGTTGGTCCACCAGGTAAAAACTGGCAGGTTCATAACCAGCAGCAGATTTGTTCCTTTTCAACTCGTTTTCCTGAAGCTCAGAACAGATCAATAGAGCTTTTAGCAACCAGGAAAACAATGTAATGTCTGCTGGAGTGACTTCGTCAGCCATGTTCTGGTTGGTGTCAAACATGTGGACAAAGACACGTGATGGTGCAGAATACTCAGAACTGTTCTGTGGTTCTTTGTGTGGCCGGGTCTTTCCTCACATGTCTCCCTCTTCCAGACCCTCCCAGTCATTATGCAATCCTGCCTCCTAGCTGCTACAGCGTTCTGCCTCCTCCTCCTGCTCTGCTCCTCCTCCTCCTGCTCCTCTCTGGCTCTCTCCTTCCTAAACATTCTATACGAACCAACAGTCCGACTGGGTCTGACGCCACGAATAGAACATTCTGTCCTCTGGATCAACACGCGATGCAAATGAGCTGTGCTGCTTTGTACTTCCCCTCCTGTGTCTGATGAACTCTGTGACTGTGTCTCACGTGCACCCCCCCCCCACACACACACACACACACACACAAACACACATTAAGCTGAGCTTGAAGCTGATTGGTGGTTCTGCTGTGTTTACAAGGAAGCCCGGCCCCTTCTTTTGCCCCCCAGCTGTTCTACTGTTAGGATCCACATTTGGAAATGAGACCCTGACTTCACCAAACAAAGAGATGCAGGAGCACTCCACAGTGGTTCTGCTCTGTTCCTCTCAGCAGCAGAACCCTGTCTAGGGCTTTATAATATGGGCCGTGGTTCTGTAGGACGCTGCAGAGAAGAGCAGATCAGCTCACTGCTCTCCTTTGTCCATTATTTACCTCCAGGCAGCCACTGACGTCCCAAGGACAGACTTCCATGGTGTCCCCACGGGCAGAAACCACCCCCATCCCTGTCCCAACTCAGGTCCGAAACTACCAGCGCATCAAGCAGAACCTCTCCAGCAGCCCAAGCAACACTCTCTACAGCTCCCCCAGGTAAGGAAGGACGTGCAGTTTCAGTAGAACAATAGAAAAGGATCCTGGTAGCTGATGAGTGTTTAACAGATATGGTTACCGGCTAAAAAGACGGGTTAAACCTGTTTTTGTTTCTCTGACCTAAATCAGCTAAACATGGTCGTAAAGTTTTGAACTCATTAACCATTTAACCTGACTCCTCCAGAACTTTCTGAGCTTTTCTTCAGACATGAATGTTTAGCTCTGATTTTAACATCTTTACTTTTTATTCAATTCAGTTCAAAGATACTTTATTAATCCCAGAGGGAAATTAGAGTTTCAGTACACACAATTCTGAGATCAGACATACATGGGCAAGACACGTGACAAGAATCGGTGACTGTGGTCATTTGCAACCTGAGTCGAGCTACTGTAACAGATCAAGAGGGTTTATATGAGGATAGAGTCAAAAAGGCACTTCAGAGTTACCCTCAACAGAGAGGACATATTTGCTATGCACAAAAACACCTCAGACAGAGGTGCACACAGACTTCAGACATTACACAACATAAGTGTCCACTAGGTGGGGAGGTAGGGTTGGGACTCTCCTCACTTCGGTGCGTGCAGCCACATGGAGCAGCGCTCATCACCTCCATTTGGACAGGGGAGGGAGATAATAGGTTAGAGGGCACATTGACTCCTAGATACGGTTCCACGGCCTTCACCGGTCACAGTCCCGCCCAGGCTGGGATAGGGAGAAAGAGTTTCCATAGCGACGGCGACATTCCACATTTCTTCTGAGGGGGGAGTTTTCACTTCAGCCTCACAGGCTCCAAGGGCACCAGATTCAGATAAGAATTGTTTTGGGGACAGACAGAGATAATTTCCTCTCTGTCTTAGTGTTCTGTTGGTCCTCAACCCCTCTAAATCCAATAATGGCGTAATTAATCTATCCCAATCCGTGCTGATCCACCAACTCTGTCCTTGATGGCATCAACCTTCTGTGCCAGAGACTGAATCTCAGCCAAAGTCCCCAGCTTACGACTCATCTCGACAATTATATGAGTTTGTGCATTCACAGTGCGGTGTAATCCATCCCTGAGCTCCGGGATCGAGCCAATATTCCTCGAAAGCTCGTTAATTTTCTGGTAAGCCAGGTAACCGCTCCGGCCAAACAGCAAGAAACCTGACACCAACACCACGAATATCCAGACGTCTTCAGAATCCTCTACAGACAGTTGAGAGAGGCAGATCAGGTTCCACTGTTTCCAGGAGTCCATGATATACCCAGCTGGCTCTGTCCCAGAGGGGCATCCGGGAGCCCCTTCTCCCGTTCTCATCATTGAAAAAATTTTGTCAATCACGTTGAGAGACCAACTGACCAGATCTATTTTTAATAATTTCCAGTTTCCAGAAAAAACGCAGAAAGCGCCGTGCACAGACAGGACAAAGAGCCTTGGGATGAGGAGGGAGGGAGAGGAGAAAAAAGCATCTGTACTCTCCAAGAGTCGTGATTAAACAAAAATAACTGAATCAAACAAAAGCAGCAAAATGTTTATTACACTGTAAAGAGTCCACCACCATCAGGAACTAAAACAAGTAACACTGATCAGACATGGGTAATCGAAGGCAGAAAATCCAGTTTAAATCAAAGTCTTTGAATTTAGATGTATCAGCTTTTCTTTTCTATACAAACCAGACTTCAGAGGCTTTGTCTTTATTATATAGTTAGTGTTTTCTCTGGATTATTTAGATTATTTCTGCTCTAAATAAATTGAAGTAAAAAAATTTTAACTCTTAGAGTATACATAAAATGATTTGATGTCGTAGGTCTGGAACGGTGAGGCGTTCCAACACCAGTCCCATGGGCTTTCCAAAGGCCAGCTCTGGGTCTCCCAGCTCCGCAGATGCCCCTCAGACGGTGGGCCGGCGCCTCTCTACAGGCAGCTCTCGGCCCTACTCGCCCTCCCCTCTGGGTAAGGTCACGTCTGCAAGCAATCGGGCTGCTTTAGAGGACGTGTCCTGATGGTGTTTGTGATTTCAGTGGGAACCATTCCTGAGCAGCTCGGTCACTGCTGCTGCCATCATCAGAACCAGGAGCCCCGCAGCCGCAGCTCCTCAGGAGGTCGGTCCGCTTCTGCTCTGTGGTTCATTCTCTTATCAGAGTTCATGGTTAAAGCAGCTGAGGTTGGATTTAAAACTGTGACAACATTAGGAAATAAACAAACTACACACACACACACATATCTCACAGTTAGTTTAGTGTCTAGATTCCTGTTGTCATGGTGATTATACAGGGTTTCTCAGACGAACCCAGTGGTTTGTCCCCTGACGGGTAAAAGTGCCGTGACTCATCTCCACAGGCCTTTGTTCCTGCTCTTCTTCCCTGTTTTGGTGCAGAGGAATGCTCTAAAAAAGTACTGATGGCCCGAGTCGGGCGCTAAAGTGGAACAAGAGCTGGAACTGATTTAAGTTACATCAGAATAAAAATCAAGGAAACGACTTCAGGGAGGTTTTAAATGATTTATTTAAATCAAATCTAATAGAGTCGTTTTATCTCCAGGCTCCCCTGTCCCATCCTCTCACCTCCTGGGGGCCCGTCTTCAGAGTGCCCCCACCTTGACAGAGGTCTACCAGACCAGGCAGAAGCTCCACAAGCAGCTCTCAGACCCCATTCAGCCCTCCTCCCCCTGCAGTCACTCACCCCAGTTCGGCCGTCCAGCCACCCTCGGCTCCTCCCCCACCAAGCTGTTAGGCTCCTCCCCCCGCACATCTGACTGGCTCCAAAAGTCCCCGCTGCCCACCATCATTGGTTCTCCTACTAAGGTGAGAGGTTGTATTCAGGTGGATGCAGGCTGTTGGACTAAAAACGGGTCTAATCTGAGCTGGTTCCATTCAGGCGATTTCAGCACCGTTCAAGATCCCCAAAACCCAGGCGTCCTGTAACCTGATGGCTCTGGCTGACGGTCCGCTTCCTAACAAGACACAGGTGGATGCTCGAGACATCTGCAGTCACCGCTGCAGCCCCTATTTCACTGGACGGGCCTCAGCCCCGGAGGCCAGCAGGACCTTTGGCAGGTAGGATTTTCCACGAGTCTTCTCTTTCCAGCTCCGTCCTTCTATCCGCTAAGGGGTCACACATTTAAACACTGGGTTTCTTAGTGCAGCAATCCGCTGTGTGACCCTGATGTGGTCTGTGGTTTCCTCACAGGTCTGTTAGTACGGGCCGTCTGTCTGACCAGCCCGTCCGGATCACTCTGGGTGGACAGGCCTACCAGGGCAGCACAGATAGCTTGAACACTGAGAGACCCATGGACACAGGTATGACAGCGTGGTCCAGTCCAGCTCAGAGCTCTGATTGGTTCTGCAGGATTTCCACACGAGTCAAACTGTAGAATCATCTGAGTTTTAGGTTTTAAAAAGCGGACCAAAGTCTTCCTGGCATGTAGATGTGTGTCAGTCTGAACAGAAGACATTCATGTCCTCCCTGCAGCTCCCAGCATGGCTCCAGGTGGGTCAGCAAGCCCCCGTACCGTCGTCTTCACGGTGGGTTCACCACCCAGCAGCTGCACCCCCCCTACCTGCAGCCACCTGGGTGCTCGGCCACGCACCACCTCAGGTGAGGAACACCACCTTAGCTGATGCTGTTGGCTGATATGGTGTCTGACACCATAATTAGTGACAGTTGTCCCCGTCCCCTCAGTGGGCTCCAATAGTTCGGCCGGCTCCTTGTGCTCCACCAGCGGTCGGGTCTATGCTGGGTCTCCCACCGGCATGGCCATAGGCTCATCTCCTCCAGGGAGTTTAGGGAGTGGACATGGTGTTCCTGGGACAGACGGAGCTCCCAGCAGCCTGCGCTACATCCCCTATGGGACCTCCCCACCAAGCCTGGAGGGATTCATCACCTTCGAAGCTCCGGAGCTTCCCGAGGAGACTCTGATGGAGGTGAGATGGAGATCTGTCACACTGGAGCTAGTTTTAATCATGCAGTTTGTTTTGCCTGGTTTAACAAATGAAACATTAATCTGATCTTCATGCTGCAGCGTGAACACACGGACACTTTGATGCACCTCAGAATGATGCTCTCTTTCACCGACTGCATCCTGGAGATGGCAGCCTTCAGGGCTGGGGGGGCTGAGCTGGGCATGTCAGCTGCCTCCATCTACCCCCCCCAGGACAGCGTGGTTGTTGACCAGATCAGCCAGCTCAGCAAGGAGTGGGGGTGAGGAACTCATTCAGTGCTTATTGTTGGCTCATCTGTCTCTCTGGTGTTTGGTTGTGACAGTGCTGCCCCCCACAGGCAGGTGGAGCAGTTGGTGCTCTACATGAAAGCAGCTCAGCTCTTGGCTTCCTCGCTCCATCTGAGCAAAGCTCAGATCAAATCAGCCAAACTCAACCCCTCCACTGCTGTCAAACAGGGTAAGGACGTCCCCGGCCCACTGTTTCTGTCCTATGGGACATAGAAATGTTCTGAAGCTGACCTTTTCTTCCCTCAGTGGTGAAGAGTTTGAACGAGCGCTACAAAAGCTGCATCTCCCTCTGCCGGCAGCTGACCGACAAACTCAACCACTTCTTCTCTGACAAGCAGCGCTTCGTGGACGAGATCAACAGCGTCACAGCCGAGAAGCTCATCTACAACCACGCTGTGGAGATGGTGAGTCGCATGAACGGACCTTAGCATCACTGTAAACCCTGGTTCTGCTGAGTCCTGATGGTGTGTGTGTGTGTGTTGCAGGTTCAGTCAGCGGCACTAGATGAGATGTTCAAACAAACCGAGGACATCGCTTACCGCTACAGCAAGGCTGCCATGCTGCTGGACGGCCTGTCCAAGGTCCTACAGGACCCTGCTGATGTGGAAAACGTGGTTAAATGTAAGGAATCACACACACACACACACACACACACACACACACACACACACACACACACACACACACACACACACACACACACACACACACACACACTGGTGTTCACGTGAAAACTGTCTATAAATATTATTACAAAAACATTTAACCCCAAGGCTTCACTTCCAAACACGTTTTACTGATTTCTAATAAAAACACTTAATCAGGCCACTAAAGCAGATCTGAACATAAACATTCTTCTATAATATATAAAGAAAAAGCTCAAAAAGCAACAAATAAAGTAAAACTGAAGCAAAAACTAATTTACTGTTTAGTTGAACTTCTTTTCTCTGATGACTCGCCGGTAAATGGAAACATGAACTCATTTTATTCAATTTAAAGGTGTGGAACACTGAAACCCCATTTTTAATGATTTTTTCTGATTATATTTATGCAGTCTCCTACACCCATCTCCTGGTGAGGAGATAGGTGTAGGAGGTCCTACATTATAATCCAGGATTAGAAAAGCCTGACAGACCTACGTCGCACTGTCCCTTAACATTCATGGACTCACCCATCTTGAGTCACGACAGGGCAGCCTGTTGTGGGTTTAGCATTTAGGAAACACCAGAGAACCTCTCGGCTAGCGGAAGTTAGCCGTTAGCATTAGCAAATCAACCACACGGCAGAACTCCTCCAAACTTGAGTTATTTATGAAGATAAAACGTACACATTGCCTGTTGCTGCCGTTATCCGATCCGAGCAAGGCATTCATTACTACTAGAGGCAAATGTGCTGATTAAATGAGTGAACCACACCTTTAAATAAAGTGTTCCTCCATGACAGCATAGGAGAGCCACTGCAGCAGAGGGGGTGCTCGTCCCAGTGCATTATGGGATGTGTTGCTTCAGTGGTAATGTACAGCTAAAGGCTAGCTTTACCACATGCTAAATTTCACTTTGCAGGCCAGGATGACAAATGTGTCATATGGTGACGATAACACATGTGGGTTTTCAGCTCTTCGTGTTTCCATGACAACCAGTGATAAAACATTGATTAAGAACCATTTATTCTTCTACCTGCTTTTAACTTGTCCAGCGAATTTCACTCGATGCCTGATTAGAAACTGCTTTAGAGTTTTGATGACTGCTGATTAGAGACTGTTTTTGTGATTTCCTGCAGACAAGGCCAGCGTGGAGCGCAGGATCTCAGCGTTGTGTTACTGCACAGTCACGCTGTACGAGTAGAAGGATGCACCTGAACGCCACAGAGGGACCAGGTCCTACAGAGGCTTCAGATTCCCGTTCCCTCCTGTAGCAGCTCGAGCACTTTTCATTAGTCCAGTTTGGTCTGGCATCAGTGTGCCATACTGACTGTGTCACAGACGGAGTGGATTTGAGGCACATTACAACCAAAGATTGAGGAAGACGGTTTAAAACCGGAAGTGGACATAAAAGCATTCTTGAAAAGGTGCTTTTTTCTGCTCTGGTGGTTTTTCCCCATCAGATCAGAACAAACATTCAGATTCTCACGTTTTAACCAGGAAAAGGATTCACAGAACCATGAGACGGTGCTGTGCACCCTAAAAGACTGTATCTGTGGTTATTGACTGTTGTTTCATTCATTGTTTTGCTTATTTATTGTTTTAAACGAACATGGACTTTACTGCAGCCACAAAACCCTTGAGTATTAAAGTTAAAGGAAAAAGGACAGAACCGCTTGCCGTAACAGAGACTTTACCAAACAACACAAGCTCCCGTTACAGAGAAAAGGATTCTGTGTGTTACGGTTCAGCTTCTCTTTTATTTGTCTTGTCTTAAGCTCAAGCACTTTATTGTGAAACCGAAGGAGCTGATTTAAGTGAAGTCTCTTCTGACCCTGATGAACAAACCTGCTTTTCACTCGCGATCAACAAGTCCACACAAGTGCTTACATTCCCCTCCAGAGACTCCAGAGGTGTCCAACCTCAACAGATGCTCATCCAGATGTTTTGGCCTTCTGCCAACATCTCAGAAGCTGTGACAGGTTCAGCCATCAGCTCTGACCTGTTGGTCCTGCTGGACGAGGCTGAGTGATCTCACTAAGAAGGACGACGTCCGTGAGCAGCCAGGTCCTCCTGTCTCCACTGTGCTGATGAACAGCCAATCGGGGTTCACTGTAAACCTTGATGAAGTCGAACTGATCCGACACATTCGTTGACGTGTTACCTTTTACTCAACAAACTGAAACAAAAGCAGCTTTTGAGAATCTGTAGCCGATTTTACCAACTTGCAAACATGTAAATAACTGAAGTGTGTGTGTGTGTGGGTGTGGGAGTTGGTGTGGGTGTGTAGTGCTGATGCTGACATCACGTGCCCCGCCCATCAAAGAGCACAAATCTTTCTATGTAGATTTTGACTTTATATGATTTGGTTCATGTCAGCCAATGCATTTTGTTTTGTGATATTTTTTTAAAGGAAAACTAGTTTTTGGCCCCTGAGTGCCAAACGTTAGAACAAACCTCACGGCAGCTCCGATCTTTCTACTAGAACTGTTTGATGTTGAGTTCACCCCCCGTCTCACCTGGATTCGGTACTGCTGCCTGGCCCTGAAGTCCAATCCCAACACTGTACTGTATGTGAGGGTCTGTAGCCTTAGCTAGCGATGATGCAGGAGGTGCCTGGGCTCCTCCTCTACAGGTGTGAATATTTTCTCTGTAGACGCATTCAGACGGGTTCTCTGGGCCCATTCCTACCATGTACTGTTGGTCTTTTCTAAACATATCTGGGTTTGAGCTCTGAACAATGTGAAGCCTCCTGTTGTACCTGGAGCCACCAGGGAACCCACCTGAGACTCTAATCATGGACATGAAGCATGGGTACCAAGTCTGCGTTTCACACTGTACAACCTGTCAGATGTTGAATGTATGCACCCTGTCGTTTTGCACCTCTAGCTTGAACTGAATGCATCTTGACTTGCTGTCGGTCACAACCTTAAAGACACTTTTTCCAAGCTTCAGCTTCTCAAAGTGAAATGTTAGTCATACTCGTCTGTTGCCCGAGGTGTCTCCACCTGTTCTTCATCAAGCTGAAATACAGTATTTGTTATTAAAAAGGAGAATTAATGATGCCTGAAGGGGTTTGTCATGGATTTTATCAATATGTTTATCAATGACCCATTTCCTGTAGTGAAGAGAGAAGGAGACAATGAGCTGACAAGCCAAACAGTCATAACTGTGGCAGAATGCACCGAACATCCGGTCACAGAGTTTATTTATAGAGAGGGGGAGTGAGAGAGAGAGAGATTGTGTGTGTGTGTGTGTGTGTGTGTGTCTGAATGAGTGAGCATGATCAAGGAGGCATAGAGCAATACATTTACATTCAGTTGATTGAGTCAATGATCAAGAATGAATAAACATAAATTTTTCTATAGCAGGTTTTATTTTACTTTTTCTTGCTGAAGGAAGATTTACGTGTTTTCAGATTGTCTTGGCTGGGAAGAAGAAGATGTGAATAAACAGAGTAAACAGTAAAAGGACATGCTGGACATCCTGGAGCCTGCAGCAGTAAAACTAGAGGGATTGTTGGTGTTTTTTATTTTTTTACCTCTGGATCTAAAAGTGAGCTGCTCCTAGAGAGGAGCCAATCTACTTTATAACCCAGTTCTTGCTATTTGTGCCATTTCACCTATTCAAATATGATTCAGATCGACTGAATTAAAGAACAAAACAGAACTTGACTTTTCTGCGGATCGTTAAATGTTGAGATTCTTTGCTACTGAAGTATATATTAAATTTCAGCCAGCCAGTGCTGTGGAAACTTAGCTTAGTGAACTAGACCAAATTCTTGCTTTGCAAAGAATGCTCCATTGGAACCTCAGCAGCTCCTACCAGGACTCTGGCTAGCCAATCACAGCTCTCTAGATGGTTTCAAACACATAAAGAGCTGTGATTGGTCCATAATGGTGGGCCAATCATAGTGCTCTATCTGCTTAGTGAACAAATCACAGAGCTTTATCCGCTTTGTGGGCCAATCAGGGCACTCTATATGCCTGGTGAGTGGGATGATGCAACAGAGTGAAACAAGAGTATGTCACATTCATTGTCCAGTGGAATGCGGAGATCATTTGAAAGACAACGGTAGAACCCGCCCCACAACCGAGAGCCATCAATGGAGCATGGCCAGACTAAATAATACATTTATTTAGGCTAGTGGAAACCTGCACAACAGACTGGCCCACATTCTCTTGCAAGAATGCGAAGAACAAATATTCTGTTTATGATAATTATCGGTCCTTTCCGATATCTTTATGAACTCATAAGATTGTTTTTCTCTTTAATGATGGATGTCATCGGAGGAAATCTGTTTTTGACTCAGCAGCAGACGACTACAAGAGTCTAGCAGTCTTACCAAATGCAAACCTCAAAATAAAACGACCACAGTCTGTTTTTGCTTTATTTGAGCTTGTTTTGTTGTTGTTCTCAAATGTGTCTCTAGGATTGGAAGCAAATATTTGACAAACTGGAGTCTGATAGAATTTAAAGACATTCATTTTCTGAATGAAGACAGAATAATTGTATGGTTTGTATTTTATGAAAAGAGAAAAATGCAGCACAAACACTAAGTGATTAATGGATTTGCTGAAATCTGTTGCAAATAAATGTAATTTAAAGAGGCAGCAGCAAGCTTTTGCGCCCTATGGGGTGGCAATGGCTACCCCTATAAAATCACTGGCCCCCTCAGGGTACACCAGTGTTAATAAATCATATTAATGTTTACTAAAACCATAAATGTATCTTATTTATTCAAGACATTAAAGTAAAACCCAATAAAATGTAAGCAATTAATGAGTGAAGAAATAATCAGAATTATAAAAAAATATTAAATACGTTTCTGCTGCTCATTTTTATCTCCATAGTTTTTTGTGAAAACAACAAAAGTGAATTAAACAAATAAAATTCTATTATAAAAATTAAAATAACATTTCAACTAACTGAGATTTGTTTTTCTGAAATGTTTGTTTCTCAAATTTGAGGTAAGTGTTTTGGATGCATATTGTTTATAATAAAAAATAAAAAAAAAGAATAAAGGAGCAATGCAATGCATCGCAACAGGCTAAACTTACCCAGGGGTGCCTCCAAAAATTTTTGATGGGGTGGCCAGACGAGGCCAAAGAAATTTTTGGGGTGGCGCACCAAATTGGTCCTTGTGGTAACTCTGGGAGAGTTTAGCCTGTGGCGATGTATTGTATTGCCACTTTATTTGGTTTTTTTTTAAATTAAAAAAATAAAAATACATACCCAAAACATTTAACGTAAATTTTACAAACACAAACATTTCAGAAAAATACATTTCAGTTATTTCTAATTTTTTCAGTGTATTTTGTTATTTAATTCCCTGTTAAATGGTGAGCAGCAGAAACATATGTATTTTATTTTTTTCTGATTATTTAGTTACTCATTATTTAGAATAATAATAATAATAATAATGCATTTAATTTATAGACGTCTTTCAAAACCCAAGGTCACCTCACAAAACATGATAAAACTTACACAAAAATAAGAATAAGATGATTTAAACAATAGAATTACAAGAAAATACTATAAATTACAGAGTGGAGAGTTTGTGGACTAGAGAGTGTAAGCCAGTTTGAACAGGTGAGTTTTGAGTTTGGATTTGAATGAGAGGAGGGAGTCTGTGTTTCGGATGTCAGGAGGAAGTGAGTTCCAGAGCCGAGGGACTGGAAGCTCTGTTTCCAACAGTGGTGAGACGAGCAGGAGCAACCACAAGGTGAATGGCAGAGGAAGACCTGAGGGAGCCAGATGGGACAGCAACATGGATGAGATCAGAGAGGTAAAGAGGGGCGAGACAGTGGATACATTTGTAGGTGAGAAGCAGGATTTTGAAGGAGATTCTGTGTTCAGTAGGTAGCCAGTGGAGACGCTGAAGAACAGGGCTGATGTAATCTCTGGAGGGGGTACGAGTGATGATCCGTGCACTAGCATTTTGGAGAAGTTGGAGCCGATGAGGGGATTTATGGGGGAGACCAAAAAAGAGAGTTACAGTAATCAGTCTTAGAAGTGACTAGGCTGTGTACAAGGATGGCATGAGGAGTAAGAGAGGGGTGGAGTTGGTTGATGTTGCATAAATGAAAGTAGGCTGAGCGAATAATGTTGTTGATGTGGGTTTTGAATGATAGAGTGCTGTCAAGGATGACACCAAGACTCTTTACATGGGGGGGGGGGGGGGGGGGATGGAGGACTTATCTATGTTAATTGATATGCTGGGAGATTTGTTGAGAGTGGAGGGTTTCCCTATGAGTAGAATTTCAGTTTTATTGCTGTTGAGTTTCAGGAAGTTTGATGAGAACCATGAATATAGATGATGAATAAGAGAGGTCCAAGGACAGAGCCCTGGGGAACACCAGCAAAAACAGCAACAGGGTGAGAAGAAAATGATTTTAATTGAACAGACTGGAAGCAGCCAGTGAGACAGGAGGAGAACCAGGTGAGAGCGGTGTGGGTGATACCAAGGGAAGCTAAGTGGCTCAGAAGGGATGAGTGAGAGATGGTGTTGAATGCTGCACTAAGATCAAGAAGGATGAGTAGGGAAAGAAAACCGGAGTCAGCTGCCATGAGAAGGTCATTTGTGATTTTAACAAGAGCTGTTTCTGTGGTGTGTAGAGGGCGAAAACCAGACTGGAACTGTTCAAAAAGGTTGTTATGGTTTAGGTGGGAGATGAGCTGAGAAGCAACAACTTTCTCAAGGATTTTAGAGATGAAAGGGAGATTAGAGATTGGACAAAGGTTATTGAAGTTATTGGGATCAGAACCAGGCTTTTTTAGAATAGGTGTGACAGAAGATGTTTTGAATGCTGAGGGAACAGTACCAGAGGGAAGAATAGATTATAGATGAGATTTGATGGAGTATGAGAGAAGTGGGAAGAGGGTCACGTCTGCAGGAGGAAGGTTAGGACCATCGACATATAAATACTGGACAATTCATTTCCATAGGCTCCAATAACACGTTTTTTAGGCCAAATGGGAGGTGGCCACCACCGCCATTTTGACCGTGTCACAGGTTCCGTCAAGCCCAGACAATTCCACAAAAGGGAAGAGAGGTGGAGCTGAGGGTGGGGCTGTAAGGCTGGGATCAACTGACGACACCCGGTCGAACTAGCTACAAGCTAACCTGAAGCTAATCCAAAGCTAATGCGGAGGTGGGAGCTAAGCTAACGGAGGTAGCAACCTAGCTACAACTGGAGTTAACTGCACAACACCAGAGCTTCTGAGTCAGAGATACGCCGGGCTGACCGCTGGGTAAAACCGGGTGGAACACAGAGGTCTCCGAGACCTCCACAAGCCGGCAGCCGCAGACAAGCGCAGCTGCGATCTGAGATGCGCAGAGCTGCCGCTGGGGAGAACCGGGTGGAAAGGTTTCCATCCCAGAGCTCCACAAGCCGGCAGCCCGCGCATCAAACAGAAGTCGCGATCAGACAGAGATGCGCTGAGCTGTGGGGAGGGGAGAACCGGGTGGAAAACATCGGTCTCCCGAGAGCTCCACAAGCCGATAGTCGGAACCCAGCTCCACCAACATGTTATATTTCAACCCATTTTTTAAAGTGCAGCATTATGTTAAATGCACTGGGTTTTACCCTATTACATTTAAATGTCATGGTTAAACAGTACATGTTAAAATCTAAGCTCAGCTCGGCAGTGACCTAAAATACATAAATATAATTTTACTTACCGAAAAAAATGAAGTGGAGACTCCTTGGATGCTCTATTAGTGCAATTAATGCCACAGCAAGTCATTTTGTCCAACAATTGCACAAAAATTATCCAAACAAGAATACACACACACAGAGACTCAAAATCCCGGAGCAGTTTCCAAGCCAGGCCGAGGCTCTACTGAGGCCTTTCCACGGCGCTAGCTCTGCGGTCACGTGGGTCGGATGCTCATTGATTATGCAGAATTTTAGGCTTTTAATACACTTAAACAGAAGAGTGAGAAAAAACTTCACCCCCCTCAGAGTTGTTTTGAGTGTAAACTAGATAATTTAAACCAAAAACATGTTTTGGTACCAGGCTGTAAACATGTTTATTTCTGCTGTGAAATTAGTATTTTTAACATGGGAGTCAATGAGGATTTGCTCGCTTCCGACACCAGCCCCCAGCGGATGAGGGTGAAACTGCAATTTTTGGTACTTCCGGGTTGGACTGAATTTTTGAGCCGCATTGTGGGGGCTTGGTTTGGACTTGTGAATCAGGTCAGAAATATCAGTGACGGAAGGTATGGTAAAAGCTGAAAGTGTATGAGTGGGAGGCAGAGAGGAAAGATGGAGTTTTATAGGAAAGGAAGTAGATTGTTTGGTGTCCAGCTGTTGGTGAATAGTGGAGATTTTTTGATTGATAAAAGACAAGATTGAATTACAGAAATCATCAGAGTAAAAGAAATAGGGAAGTGAGTCGGGGGGGGGGGTAACATTGTTGAGAAGAGAAAAAAGAGACCTAGGATTAGAGTTTGTATAATTTTATTTTGTTTTACAATTATGTATTGAATAAATAAAATTAATTTGTGATTTGAGGGAAAAATTTCTACCCCTGGCCACCCCTTGGGGGCACCAATGAACTTACCACAAGGACCAATTCGGTGTGCCACCCCAGTTTTCTTTGGCCACCCTTATCAACATTTAGTGGGGGCGCCCCTGCCAGCAGCAATGTGATATACCGGTAATTACCGCGGGGAAAAAAACGCCTGTTTTGTAGTAAAATAAAATGCTGCATCATTAGAGAAGCAGATTCCTGCTCCTCCTCTCATGAACATTTCTGACGTCCTGCAGGAGTTTCGCCCTCCTCCGTCTTCCTTTGCCTGCAGTTTAATTCCTATCTCTGCCTGCAGCGGCAAGTGTTTGTTGTCTTTCCTGAGGAGGGAGGAGTTAAGACCTCCATTTGTTCACTGATTGGTGCAGAGTTTGACAGGCACACTCACTGACCAATCACCGTCTCCACCGTCGCCGCTCGGCAGCACTGGAACTCAGGAGGACGCTTTTTAGTAAGTCCTGTAACTTGTATGGACATGTTAACGAGTGAGTTGTCCGAACTGTGACCGGTTCATGCGGAAAAGGGACGCTGAGAGGTCATCTGTTCACAGTACGTGCTTTTTATGTGTTATTTACGAACCTTTAGTCTGTGCAGGTGTTTTTGCTGTCAGTAGCTAGCTTAGCTGAATCCAACTGGCGGATTTGATTGATGTTCCGCTGCAGGTCGCTTACTCCACTAACCCGTCAGACCACCGTGACAGCTTCACTCAGAGTAACTAAGGTTTAGGTCTAACCCCTACCTGCTTTCTTTTCAGCCGTAAAAGTTAGGACTTTGTGAGGGTGGACCAACCTGCCTTCCAGATGTCCCGAGAACAGCAGGTGGTGGATCGGACCAGAAGGGCCTTTCGCACCGGGAGGAGCAGACCTCTGGAGTTCAGGATCCAGCAACTGAAAAGGCTATGGAGCTTCATCAAGGAGAGACAGGAGGAGATCTGCGAGGCTCTGAGGAGGGACCTTGGCAAGGTGGGTACAGTGGTCCAGATCTGTCCTAGAGCCAGAGCTTCACTGGGACGACTCAATTATTCCTACATACCTTATAATCACAGTTAATCCACATTTACCGTAGGATGATCATAAGTACAGCCGAGAGCCATAAGTGACCATCTGAGACTGTTGCCCGTAGCAACGCCTCCCCTGATGATATGACATCAGCACCAGGAAATAGAGTAAAACTCGAAGTGAAGTGAGTTCATTCCACAGTTAGGGGTGTGATCATCGGCCTTTCAGGACTCTTGGTCTGAATTCTCAAGCTCATTGTGAAACACGTAGAGACGGGTTTGGGGGGATAGAGCAGGTTTTACGGGTGGCTGAGATTGTGAAACATCTGGATTCTTTGTGTCTGCTTACAGAGTGAGCTTGGGTCAGAACTGTACGAGTTACTGGTTCTGGAGGCAGAGCTCAAGTTGGCCATTAGCAGACTGGCGGAGTGGGCGGCTCCTCGGCCGGTAGAGAAGAACCTTCTCACTTTAACAGCTGAGGTTTATGTGAAGCCTGAGCCCTTGGGAGTGGTCCTCATCATCGGGACCTGGAACTACCCCTGGCCCCTCACCCTGCTGCCCCTGGTGGGGGCTATTGCTGCAGGTTCCATCCATGTCACACCTTTTTGGCCAATGGCCATTTCCCACCAACAATCTTTGAAAAGGTCTTTATTTAATTTGTTGTTTGATATCTAATTTTAATTTTAATCCTCCAGGCAACGCGGCAATCATAAAACCATCTGAGGTCAGCTCCAACTCCTCTAAGGTGATGGAGGAACATCTCTGTCACTATATAGACCAGGTGGGCCTCCTTCTCTGTGACACTGTAATACTGTGAAACTAGAATATAAATATCCTGTACTGTACCACAGTGAGGAGAGTCAGGTAGGTGAGCTGCAAGTTAAGGATAAATGTAAGCATTCATATTTACAAAAATGCTTAAAAAATAACTGAAAAAATTAACAAGAGGCTGTAGTTTATGGGCAAGTTCACACCGTAAGAAAGCAAAACTATATAGTCATTAAAAATAGCACAGACTAAAATAAACATGCCGGTAGAATATTTAAAAAATGTATAAGATTCCTCTATAGTCATTACCAGCCATAATGGATCAGCTAAGTACTTTTGGTAAAGTATCAGGATACAAACTTAATATATCCAAAAACATTCTATTCCCAGTTATCGACCTAGATCGGCGACTGAATTGGGTACAGCTACCATTTAATATTCAATCTTAGTTTAGATATTTAGGGATTTTAGACTTGGTTTTGTCATTTGGGATCTGTATCTCTGATCTGATTGTTGACTCTGCATGCATCTCTGATCATTCTCCTATTATTTTGAATATCTGTGGCTTGACACCTCCATCCACTAGGCAACATAATCAACACCTTACAAGAATAATTTCCCCTTTCACCACCAATCTATCAGCATCTGGCCTAGCTGCGCCTCTATCCACTTCCCAACCTGATTCCACCTGTGTAGGAGTTGAGGAGCTGCTGACCTCTTTCAACTCTACCTGCTCAACTGTTTTAAATGCAGTCACTCCTCTAAAATCCAGGCATAAAAAAACTGTGGTCGACCCTTGGCTCAATGAGGAGACTCGTGCCCTAAGACGCCAATGTAGGGTCTGCGAACGCCGGCGGCGGAAGGACAAGCTGCAAATCTCCTACCAATTATTCAAGGATTCTTTGACCCGCTATCAGAAAGCTGTCCGCACAGCTAGAAACAGATATTTTGCAAAAAATATCACTAGGCATTAAAACGACCAGAAGAAACTGTACAGTGTCCTCACCTCTGTACTATCCCTTAGAGAATCTCCCAACTCTTCTCCCTCTACAGGAACTCTTTGCTATGAGTTTCAAAACTTTTTCCTGCATAAAATCCAGAATATTAGAACCAGTTTCTCTTACTCAGGCTGGGTTACCTGTGTAGAACCTCACTGTCCACCCTCATTCTCTTGCTTTGCTCATGTGACACTCTTCCCTAGTTGATCTAATCTTGGCTATGGAGCCCTCAGGCTCTCCAGAGGACAGCCTTCCTCCAAGACTGCTGCGCGATGTCCTTCCAGCGGTGGCCCCTGCTGTTTTGGATATTGTCAATTCCAGCTTCTCCTCTGGTGTTTCCAGCTGCTTTTAAAAATACAGTTGTTCAGCCGCTATTAAAGAAACCAGGCCTTGACCAGTCTGACTGTGCCAATTATCGCCCAATCTCAAAACTTCCATTCATCTCAAAAGTAGTTGATAAACTGGCTCTCACGCAGCTTACTTCTCACCTAGATGACAATGGGCTTCTTGACCCATTCCAATCAGGTTTTAGACGTAATTACAGCACAGAATCTGCACACATTAGGGTGCTCAATGACATCTTGATTCTGACTGACTCTGGCTCCCATGTGCTGTTACTCTTACTCGACCTGACTGCAGCATTCGACACTGTAGACCACACCATCCTACTTCACAGACTCGAATTTTGGGTGGGTGTGACCGGTACTGCCCTCAAATGGTTTAAGTCGTACCTTAATGGTTAGTGTTTTAGTGTTCATGTTGGAGACTGCTCTTCTCCCAATGTCCCACTTCCATGGGGAGTACCGCAGGGCTCCATCCTGGGTCCTCTCCTCTTTTCAATTTGCATTCTACCGCTTGGTAAGATTTTAGCAAGTCTCTGGGTTAACTACCACTTTTATGCAGATGATTGCCAGATCTACCTTCAAATCAACCAACAACACTCATTTTCTATAATGTCAGAATGCCTCTCCCAGGTCAGATCCTGGCTTTCTCAAAACTGCCTACAGTTAAATGACAGCAAATCAGATGCCATACTTTTTAGCCCCACTTACATGAATGGTGCTTTAGATGTCTCAACTCTCCCACTCAATCTCAAATCATGTGCCACTAGCCTAAGTGTGAAACTGGACTCTGACCTTTCAATGTCTTCACAAGTCAACGCTACTGTCAAGTCCTGCTTTTTCCAACTCCGCTGCATCACTCGTCTTAAGTCAATCCTCAAACGCCCGGATCTTGAGTCAGTCATTCATGCTTTTATTACTTCACGTCTGGATTACGCATGTCCTGATTGGGATTAATGCTTCAGCCTTAAGCAAACTGCAGAAGGTTCAAAATGCCGCGGCCAGATTTTTAACCAACACCGACAGACGCATGCACATCACACCCATCCTCGCAGATTTACACTGGCTCCCAGTCAAATTTAGGATTAACTTCAAGGTCTTGTTATATGTTTAAAAGGCTTTGTACTGCCCATCCCCCATCCTATCTGACGGACCTGCTGACCCCATATGTTCCCACCCATGCCCTTCGGTCAGCAGATCATCTGCTGCTTGTTGTTCCGAAGGTTTGGTACAAATCACGGGGGGAGCGTGCCTTCCCTTACGCAGCCCCAAAACTCTGGAACTCTCTGCCCCTCCGTGTGCGTCTGGCTCCCTCTGTTAGCAGTTTCAAGTCGGCCCTGAAAACTCACTTCTTTAGCATTGCCTTCCCTCCGTGACACTTTTCATGACAATCTAGCACCGGATTTGAGTTTTTCATTCCATTTTTATGATTTAGTTGCTCACTTTTGGCACCTCGCACCATCTGGTATTTAATTTCGTTTTACTTGTGCCATTTCAAATGTTTTTATCATTCGTCGCATTATTTTATTTTATAGTGCTGTTAACTGTTCTCCTATTTTATTGTTTGTAGTAGGAATTTTTATCTCCGACTATTTATGCTTTGTTCTTAAGTATTTTGCCGTTTCTTGGTCAAGCATTTGGATTTATGTACAGCACTTTGGTGAGCTGCCATGCTATTTTGAAATGGTGCTTTATAAATAAATATGGTATGGTATGGTATGGGATTGAAATAACAACTCTTCAAAGAAAATTTGATGAAACCGTTAGAGAAAACATCGCAAGTTTTTGCTAAAGTGGTCCCATATTCCCCTATCGCTGGCTAGAAGCATTAACATAATAAAAATGACCATTTTACCCAAATCTATGTTCATGTTTCAACGCATCCCCTTTTTAATTAAAAACAGTTTTTTTCCAGTCTGTCGATACTATTATCACTAACTTTATCTGGGATAATAAAAAACCAAGGATAAAAAAAGAGTTCTTAAAAAGGCCGAAGGCGGCCGGAGGGATGGGACTACCAGACTTCAAACTATACTACTGGGCATGCAACATAAAGCCTTTACTGTACTGGCTCCAACAGGAGACATGGTGTGTGTAGACAAAGTGGCATACCAGTTTATTATTCAGCCCTTTAATAAAAAATCATAATTTTATCCCTTCCTTTAGAAATAATATGTTTGATGATTGGGTGGCAAAAGGATTACATAATTCTGCTGGTTTCTTTATTAATAAAACCAAATATATCATATGAACAGCTACAGAAATAGTATGACATACCCAAGACACATTTCTTTAAATATCTACAAGTGAGAGCTTACGTGAAGAAACTAATTCCATCCTTTCCTGCAGCCCCACATCAGTCACCCTTGGAAAATATTCTTTCATTTGAGCCAAACATAAAAGAAGCCATTTCTAAACTATACATTACGTTAGAGAACCTCAATAAAACAGCTACTAATCATTTGAGATTGATTGGAGTGAGGATCTGGGAACAGAGGTAAAGACTGATGGGAGAAAGCTCTGCAACAAAACCTCAGTCTGTGCTAGACATGGACTTCTGCAATTTAAAATATTCCATAGACAACATTGGACCAGACACTAATTACATAACCTATACCCATATATCCATTGTGCGATCGATGTGGACGATCTCCCACAACATTGGGACATATGTTTTGGAACTGCCCTAAAATATCAAAATATTGGAATAATATTAACAACTATCTGTCCAAAGTTTTGAGAAAACCTTTTAAATTGAACTCAATGACAGCTGTATGGGGAGTGGTGGACCATGAAGTAACCGTGAGTAGAAAAGAAAAGTCTGTGGTTTTGTTCGTGTGTCTTTTAGCTCGCAGGGCAACTTTATTAACCTGGAAACAGATGGCAGCTCCCTCGTGCGCAAAATAAACGAGGCTCTGAAACACCTTCAACTAGAAACAATTAGACTCGCATTAAAAGGCCAAGAACACGTTCAACCAAATCTGGCGTCACTTTATAGATTTAACTAAAACATAACCACCCCCCTTTTAAATGTTATTTACCCCCCCCCCACCCCCCACCACCCCACCACCACACACACACACACCGCTCTTCGTTTTCTTATTATTAAATTCATTTACTTATCTTTTCCCCCTCTCTTTTAAGTAGTGTCGAAGTGCTTTAGGGCGGTATCATTTTGTTTTTGTAAGCCTGACTGTCTTATTTGTTAGATCTGTTCAATATGAATAATCAATAATAAAAATCACTAATAAAAATAAAACAATCTACAAGAAGTGCTTCGAAACAAAGAGTGTAAACGTCCAGAAGTGTGTGTAGGACCTGTACCCGGTGGTGGCTGGCGGAGTACAAGAGACCCAGGAGCTGCTGAAGCAGAGGTTTGATCACATCTTCTACACCGGCAGTACCGCTGTGGGGAAACTGGTGATGGCAGCTGCTGCTCAGCACCTGACCCCAGTGACCCTGGAGCTGGGGGGGAAGAGTCCCTGCTATATCGACAGGAACTGTGACATCGCTACAGCCTGTCGGTTAGTGTAAAATACAGCAGATAATCTGTCTCAGACCACACACACACACACACACACACACACACACACACACACACACACACTCTCTCTCTCTCTCTCTCTCTCTCTCTCTCTCTCTCTATCTCTCTCTATCTCTCTATCTCTATCTCTCTCTCTCTCTATCTCTCTCTCTCTCTCGGATCAAGTCTTACCGAACATCCTCTGTCGGCTCTCCTAACCAGACGAATCACGTGGGGAAAGTTCATTAACTGTGGCCAGACCTGCATCGCTCCAGACTACATCCTGTGTGAATCCTCCATCCAGACCAGGGTGTTGGAGGAGATAAAGAAGTGCATCCAGGTAAGTTTGAAAGATAAAATTGTAATAAAAAGGCAAACATTTACTCTGCATGCAGACATTGTTTGTCGAACAACACCTGAACTAGGAAGGTGCGACTTCAGCTTTTGTCCCAGGGATCGTTTTGACAGCAGGACACGTGAAGCACAAACTGCCTGAATAATGAACAAACTAATAAAGTTATTAATTAGGGGGAGGAGCCAAAGTTAAAGGCATTAAATAAATTAATCTGGTTATGCAAGAGTTAAATAAAAATGGGGGCATTTTTTGAGGATTATGTCACCATGGTAACTCAGAACACAAAGAAAAGTAGCGGCACACTGAGCGAGTCGATCGGATATGGAATATGTGGCGGTGCTGGCGTGCTTACGTTTGACAAAAAGGGGTGTGCATTACCGTGGGCCCCTTATAAACACATTTTTCATCTAACAACCTGAACCTGTTGCTTCAGTCAGCCGAAGTATCACAAATGTTTGTCGAATTAATGTTATTGGTGAGTAAAACGGTTTTATCTTAGAGCAGCAAGGCTAGAACTGTTCTGTGACCGGTTGGAGATGTTTCCCTGATGGTTATTTCTCATCAGCATCGGGGGATGATGTTTGTTCTGATGCTCCTAACCCGTTTCTCTAACTGGACGTGTTGCAGGAGTTTTTTCAGGGTGATCCAAAGAACAGCTCTGACTACGGACGCATCATTAACCAGCGTCAGTTTGACCGACTGGTGGGTCTGATGGAGGGCAGCGTGGTGGCGCTGGGAGGAGATGTGGATGAATCCCAGTTCTACATTGGTATGTCATGTTAGCTGATTGTGCTAGTGACTGGATTAGTTTTCATTTGTATGTCGATGATTGCCAGATTTTCCTAAAGAAGGGTTCGTTGGGCTCTGCCTCTGGTGGAGGGTGTAAGGATGTACGCTCATGGTTGTTTATCAGACAGGAGCCCCGTTAGAGACAACCAATTTCATCGTTTTTATAAGTAGTGTTCGTCAGAGTCTGGCTCTTTTATCGTTGGCCCTTTCTGAACAAAGATTAGGGATGTTTGGGTAAGGCTAGAGACGTTTGATGCACAAGTGACTGCAGTAGTGAGATCCTTGTTCTGGCAGCTCCAGCTCCTTTCCAGGATCAAGTCCATGATTTCAAAATATAATCTGTAGATGTTGACATCAGCATTTGTACTGTCTAGGCTCAACTACTGTAACTCCCTTTATGTCTGACTAAGTCAACACTCTCAAGGCTTCAACTGGTCCAAAATGCTGCAGTGAGGTTCATCTCTGGAGTAGAAAGGTGGGAGAGAGCTTCTCCTCAGTCCTCGTCCCTCGGTGGTTGCTTCCAGTAATCGACTACATAGAAGTTAAGGTGCTTGTGTTCACATTTCACTTGCTACGGACCCAGTGCCTCCCTGCTTGACACTTAACTTTAAGGGTTTGGATTGGGGGAGTTAAACCACCAAATAGTTCCTGAGCGCAGCCACTGCTGCAGCTCACCGCTCCCCACGTGGATGGGAGATGTGTGATGATGGGACTTTAACTTAGTATTTTTACAACGGGGTTCACGGCTCATTTCTGTTCAGCACTCTGGGCTGCCTTGATTGGCAGGAAGGCTTTTTATAAGTAATCAAGTGGATAGAAATGAGTGGGAATTTACAGAAAGTCTGAGATCTTCTGGATAAAGTTCTGTTATTTTTTTTTTGTATCTGTTGCTGCAGCCAATCAGAGCTCAGAACCCTCTGCTGGTAAGGAGTTTAGTGTGGTCCTCTCCCTGCGTGAGGGACTCTCCGGGGTGTGGTTTTACGGGCGGGGGTTCAGATGAGCATACACATAATCAGTAAATCATCATTAGCTGGTCGGCTTTGGCCCCTGCTGTCCTGGTTAAACACCAAGCCTGCGAGGACTGGGAGTCCGTCTTCATGTCAGGTTTAATGAGAACATCACTAATGCAATTACCTTAACTAATAAGGTCATAATGCTGCATATGTGAACCACACGATTAATGAAAAGGCTCCTTCTGCTTCAGGTCCCACCGTGCTGAAGGATGTAACGGGGGATTCCAGAGTGATGACGGAGGAGATCTTTGGACCACTTCTGCCCATCGTCACAGTGAGCGGCCTGGAGGAGGCCATCCAGTTCATTAACGACCGCGAGAAGCCGCTGGTCCTCTACGTCTTCTCCAATGATCAGAAGGTTGGGCGGTCCACCTGCAGGTGTTTTGGTCCCTGTCCTTCAGGGTGTTGTCTCTAACGGGGCTCCTGTCTGATAAACAGCTGATTCAGAGGGTGATGTCAGAGACGTCTAGTGGAGCTCTGCTAGCCAATGACTGCATGGTTCACTTCATCGACAACGCTCTGCCGTTCGGAGGAGTGGGTGAGTCTGGAGCAGCAGCTGCTCTGGTGTCTGTTCTCCTCTTGATTTGCAGCTCTGACATGTATTGAACCCTCGTGCAGGTCACAGTGGACTGGGTCGGTACCGTGGCCGCCACAGCTTCGATCAGCTCAGCAACCTGCGCAGCTGCATGGTCAAAAGGCTGCATCTGGAGGGAGTCAACAGCATGCGCTACCCTCCCCACACCGCCAGGAGGCTGGGCTGGGCTCGCTTCTTCCTGCTGACACACATCAACACGCTCGGGCTGTACTTCCTGTTGGCCATGTTGGCTGGTCTGGCGGCGCTCATGGTGCAGGTAAAGAGCTGCCGCTGCAGCCCTTTGGGCCCCCAGGAGCCACAGGTTCAACCAGTCAGCAGGCTCTGATGTTCCAACCAGGAAGTTCAGTTGGAGAACTCCTCTAAACATATTTACCCGTCTGGTGTTTCTTTCTGATTTTAACCTCTGAGGCCTGAGTCTAAAAGACACCAGCTGAGCTCTTATTACAGATATAAAGTCTTCTCCTGGAAGATGAGTTCTTACTTCATGTTTTAGAGCAGCAGCAGCAGCACATGTTTAAAATGTTATAAACAATCATAAAGGAAACTGTTCGTAAAGAAGTAGGCACTGTTTTACAGACACAATCACGTCTTCATCTACCCAGAATGCAAAAAGGAGGCATATACAGGTCCTCAGAAAATTAGCATATTGTGATAAAGTTCATTATTGTCTGTAATGTACTGATAAACATTATACTTTCATATATATTAGATTCATTACACACAACTGAAGTAGTTCAAGCCTTTTATTGTTTCTAATATTGATGATTTTGGCATACAGCTCATGAAAACCCAAAATTCCTACCTCAAAAAATTAGCATATTTGGTCCGACCAATGAAAGAAAAGTGTTTTTAATACAAAAAAAGTCAACCTTTAAATAATTATGTTCAGTTATGCACTCAATACTTGGTCGGGAATCCTTTTGCAGAAATGACTGCTTCAGTGTGGCGTGGCATGGAGGCAATCAGCCTGTCTCACTGCTGAGGTGTTATGGAGGCCCAGGATGCTTCGATAGCGGCCTTAAGCTCATCCAGAGTGTTGGATCTTGCGTCTCTCAACTTTCTCTTCACAATATCCCACAGATTCTCTATGGGGTTCAGGTCAGGAGAGTTGGCAGGCCAACTGAGCACAGTGATACCATGGTCAGTAAACCATCTACCAGTGGTGTTGGCACTGTGAGCAGGTGCCAGGTCATGCTGAAAAATGAAATCTTCATCTCCATAAAGCTTTTCAGCAGATGGAAGCATGAAGAGAGCCCATTTATTCCACTCTGCAGTCGGACTCATGAATGGCAATCGTAGACCTGCCCACTCCAGCTGCTTTGTTCCAGTCACATGATCCTGGTGTTGTGTTTGGACCTGAACTGACCCGCTCTGACCAGTACCTACACTGACTTGTATAAAGTAGCTGCTTCTCTAATCATTGCCTCCTTATATTATCATTTCACTGTGTTTATTTCTTAATTCTAATTTTTGCTCATCTATTTTTTTCTGCACCAAGTACCGCAGCAATTTCCTAATGTTGTGATTCTCGCACACATGGCCACACACCCTTCTGATTCTAAACTTTACAGATGTGTGTTTGTGTTTAATCACATGATTTTCTGTGTGGTTTAAATTTTGTACAGTTTGTCAGTTTTATTAGAAACGCTTGTCCAATTTAATATGACCATACCCAAACCCCCCATGTTGCAAGGATCACACACACACATTCACGCACGCACTCACACAACCAAGGCTTTGTCCCTCTCAGACAAAGTGTTGTTGTCCCTCACATCTAGCCACATAATGCCCCCTCATCTACCCTCCCTTTAATTACCCATCATGCTTCTGCGCCGTGGCTGAATGGCCTCTTTTGTTGAGGTCAAGCCCACCACTGTTGTTGACGTGGACTCTGCTGCTCATGAGAAACAGTAACACTCTGTTTGGTGTGGTTTACAGACGTACCTGTGATGAGACTGAGTGATGCTGGTGAGCTGAGCTTTGTCCCCATCAGGAGGACGGGGGACCAACTCTTGCCCAGTGGAGAGCCAGAGGACTCCTAGGACTTCCTGGTCTACATCAGTGTACATCTTGGGCTGATTATCGCCTCAGAGACGTTTGCTGCACCAAACTTTTACTGGTTTTATGGAGTCATCTATAAATCGTATTGATTCATGTCAGTTTTTACTTTCATAATTAATAAAACAAGGTGATTTTTTTTTCTGAATAAAAGCCGAACTGGACACAAACTGTCATTATTTTGCACTGACTTGTAATAAAAGTCTACACAGTCTATTAGTCAGATAACCAAAGCTATGGTTTCTGTTAATTATCTCTGTTATCTTTATTTTAGTTGTAAGATAATAATAATCACTGTAATCTATGAGGTCCAAATAATCTGAAATAGCCCTAGATTAAATAAATATCCGTAAAATCACACCAAGATAAATCTCGGTGTCAGGGGGTTAAAGCTTTAAAACTAATGATTATTTATTTTAATCTGCGTGGAGCTACTTGTCAGAAGAGCCCCATAATGAGGCGAATCCCTTCCAGGGCTGTCGGCAGTGACCTGACTCATAATCTGCTGCAGCCTCGTCAGCTGATCGGTGGAGGGGTGGTCAGGTCCCGGACGCACAAAGCTTCCCGGTAAACTGATCCCAGAGTAGCGCGCGCTGAGACCAGGCTGCAGCCGAACCTCCAGCTGCTCCAGCGGACTGGAACCGGATGAGTTCTGCCTGAGTTCTACTGGACCGCGCGTGGTGAGTCGAATGCACCTGTGTTGTGTTTATGGACTTTATGTCAGGTTTAGAATAAATGTGGATAAACGTTAATGGCCTCAGAGCTGCTGGAGAGGAACTCTGACTTTTGTGTTAAATAGTTTATCTTATTCTATTTTCTTATTTAACTGTTACATGAAGGTGAGAATAAGAATTACTCCTGAGACCTGGTGTCCTCGTGGACTTTGGCTTCTTGCTCTGTAATCTGTTTATCTTAAACCTGCTACACTCCTCAGGGAAACAACGTTTTACATTAATGTAATTTATTTATTCTTATTAAAAACTATGTTTGTTTTAATGTTTGATTTTTATGTTCTTGATGTTCAACAAATCCAGATTTAAAAAAGGGAAGAGTTAGTTTCCAGATAAAATATTTTTGTTGATGTGCATGAGTAGATAATAGGAAGAATGCCAGAGATATAAAGCAATAAAAGCTGATATAAACATGTGATGTGAAAATTTAGATAAGCTGCATTCAAACCAGAACATTAAATAGAGGTGGGACCATGTCACTTGCAAGTCAAAAGTAAATTTCTTTCTTTTAACCCTCTTGATGTGGACCTAATTGTGTCTTCAATGAAGTGAACATACATACAAATAGGAAAATGATAGGATAGGAAACTGAATTCTGACTCCTAAACAGGCCATTTCAGCAAAAATCTAATTAAATGGAAAAGTAATGAAATGAATTTAAGTTATTTATAATTAAAATGTGTATGAAGTACAGTGCAGGTCATCCAGGCCACTGGGATTAAAGTTCAGAGATTTTTGTGATCAAATTGAGTCAAAATCAGCAAAAATTTGGCTTCAGTCTGAGTTGAGTGCCTTGAGTTTTTTTCGGGCTGTTTGATGGACGTGATGTATTTTTACCCAAGTCATGTTCAATTGTAAATCAGTCAGAATTGATGTCTGAGTGCCAAAAACAAGCTTTACAGTTTTACTCTCACAGGTGGAGTGTTTTAGATTAATCTATAATTCCCCACCTCACATCAAAATATTAGAAATGCTTTTGGTTGTTTTTAATCCCAACGGACACAGAGACAGAAAAGAAAGAGAACCACCAACAACATCAGGATATGTAACTGTAATGTTTTTGCTGAAAAGCACATGGTAATAATTCATGGTGCATTTAGTGCCAACCACAGCCCTAAGTTAAGTGATAACAACACCTGAGTCCGTACTTGTGAGAGCATATTGTGAGCACCTGTGTGTTCATGCACTTGTGTATGAAAGGTTTCTCTACAGGAGTGCCCAATGGTGAGTGTGAAGGGCCACAGACCTGCCCCCCCAAGACCCCTGGAAGACGTAAAAGAGATCTAAGCCCCAGGCATTCAGAGGCCCTTCTGGAGCGTGGTGTCAGGATCTGGCTTGGAGCAAACAGAAGCATGAGTTGGATGTGGCATGTTGTTATGACTGAAGCGCGGAGTGACTGACACTGGGGTTGAACAGGCACACAGTTAAGAGCTGTGGCACAAAGCTTGAAGGGAAACAAGAACACACTGAGAAATGACTTGCAGAAAGCCGATATGACTGGTAACAGACTGGCTGGTCTGGAAGGCTCTGGACAAGGTTCAGTTGGATGGTCGGAACTTTCCCTGGAACAAAACGAGACGATGACTGAGCCTCGAGCTATGATTCTGGCTTCCTGAAGTAGTCCCAGGCTGGTGATGTCGGCAGGAAGTCCGGTACGGGGTAAGATGAGAGGTGGAGTCTGGAGGTTGGCTTCTGGAAAACTGGGGCATGTTTGGGTCTGTGGTGGAGGAGTTCAGGAGTGATTAAGCTTGGAGTGGAGGTCCGGGGCCAGAACGTGACATGTGGAAACCTCAGGGAGACCGCCGCAGGAGCAGCTGCCCACCCTGAGAGGCGTAGAGACTAAGACCAGTCTATACTGTACAGCACAATTAACTCTTTACCGCCGTTAAATGAGTCTGACGTCTTTAATCAGCTTTGTCACCTTACTCGCCTCAGACCGAGCCAGTCATCCATGCTTTCATTACCTCTCGCCACCGCCCTCCTAATTGGTGCTCCGGTCTCTGCCCTGAATCGGCTGCAGGTCGTCCAGAACGCTGCTGCCAGGTTCTTGACAAACACGCACCGACGTAGCCATATTACCCCTGTCCTGGAACATCTTCACTGGCTCCCTGTCATTTTCCGAGTACAGTTTAAGTTATTGACATTTGTCTTTGAAGCACTCGACGACCTGGCACCTCCTTATCCCTCTGACCTGCTCACTCCCTATGTTCCCACGTGCCAGTTGAGGTCGGCTGACCTCCTGCTGCTTTGGACGCCCCGGATGCAATACAAATCACGGGGTGAACGAGCATTTGTATATGCTGCCCCAAAGCTGTGGAACTCTACCTATTATAGTTCGGCAGGCTCCATCATTGGCGATTTTTAAATCTCGTTTAAAGACCCACTTCTGCGATGTGGCTTTTAGACAGTGACTGGTTTTAGTTTTTTTAATGTGTTCTTAGTATTCCTCATGTTTAATCTGCTTTTGATCGCTATTTTTATCCTCTGTTTTAGTTGCTTAGATTGGTCATGTTTTGGTCCAGCCTGTGCAGCACTTTGGGCAGCTCCCATGCTGCGTTTTAAATGTGCTATATAAATAAACTACGGTATGGTATGGTATGGTATGGTACGGTAGAGGCTCACCCTGGGTGTGGGGAGGAGGGCAATCAGCAGCTGTGCCAGGGACCTAAGAGATTATAACCCCTAAGCCCCTAAGCCCTGCCCACAGCCGCTCACACCAGGGACCTGAGTGGCCAGAGACCTAAGGGTGCCCAAGAGAGCCCAAGGGCCCAGGCCCCACCAGGCAGACACTGGGAGTGAGCCGGCAGGTGCCACACACCCAGTCCAAGACACGAGATCTGCAAATATACAGGCAGACGGAGGCACCATCCACCAGTGGGAAGTGTGGCAGATGTCCCAGAACCTACCTGGCAGTCACACACTCCCCACCCTCATGCTCACACATGAACACAACCCAAAGACTCACAAGAATGCACGTCATACACTTACTCACACTCCCCACGCACACACTACACAATCTGGTCCAGGTACTGCTGCACAGATGGACAAGATGTGCTGTAGGCAGGGTATCTGGTAGTTTGGGTGTTTGGCGAACAAGGTGTTTAGTGGACAAGGTCTACTGGACAGATGACAGGGTGTGTGATGGACATGGTCTCTGGTGGACAGTGTGTTTGGATTGGCCCTGTCATCAGATAGAGGACATACAGGATATTGTGAGCTAGAACCTGATGAAGTTCTTGTTCTTGCTGATGAAGGTGCAGGTGACCATGGAGAGGCAGGTGTTCCAGCGAACCAGGGAGGCCTTCCTCAGCGGTAGGACTCGTCCTTTGGAGTTCAGACTGCAGCAGCTTCATGCCCTGCAGAAGATGATCACAGAGAAAGAGACAGAGATCTCCACCGCCCTCAAGCAGGACATCAACAGGGTGAGAGGACTTCCTGAGCTCGAGCATGTGGGGAAGCTTTTTATTTGTCTGTCTGAGAAGTTCTGTGTGTTTTTTTCTCAGAGCCAGTACGACACTCCACTCCTGGAGCTGATTGGCATTGAGAACGAGATCAAGCTGGCCATTGAGAAGCTTTCTGACTGGGCAGCTCCTCGACCAGTAGAGAAGAACTTGCTCACGATATCAGATGAGGTCTACGTTCAGCCGGAGCCCCTCGGAGTGGTCCTCATCATTGGGGCCTGGAACTACCCCTGGTCCCTCACCCTGCAGCCACTGGTGGGGGCCATTGCAGCAGGTAGGTGTTCTTCTGAAAGGGACTTGGTAGCATGGGGCAGAGTCCTTCTAGAGTGTAAACAGCTTCAGGTCCCTGAGCAAAACTGTTTATCACGGATCGACTTGTCTCAGTTCTTCAGAAGAATTAAGTTTCCTGAGGTCAGGTGTGTGAAGAACATTTATTTTTCTCACCATCGTCATTGTTGATTGTCAGTAGATGTCTGTGACATCATGATAGTTCCACCATCATGCATCACACTGGGACCAACCCAGTCATGATGGTGATCTCTACGTGGAGCCTGGGCAGTGAGATACGATGGACCACATGAGATGATGAAACGAAAATGTCTTCTGCTGCTGTTCGTGGTGTCTTAAAGGGACTTTACAGTTTTGAATTTTTATGCTCGCGATTGCCCCCTCAGGCCAAAAGCGTAATGGCAGCTTCAATAGTAGGCTCGTGCATGAGGCGCGCATGCTGTACGTGCATACTCCTTAACGAAAATAACAGCTGAGACGAAGCTCTGTGAAGCTGACGGGGGTCAGCTTCACAGAGTTCTGAGAGCTGACAGTCCCTTGTGTGTGTGTGTGTGTGGCCCGGAGGACAGAGGACAGGAGAACGCGTAGCTAATTAATTAAATAATTTGGTTCTGTACCTTTCTCTTCAGCACAGCCGACAAAGGTTTATGACGGGTCAGTCCTCCTGCATGCTCAGATCATTCCCTTCCCTTGCTTGAAAAATTGTTCCAAAATGAAAGTTGAACCCACATCTTTTTTATCTGTGAATTCAATGCCGTTCGGTGAGTCTCAAAAAAAAATTTGGGCATCTTACTGTAAAAAAATATACCATTAATGTAAAAAAAAACCTCTAACAAAACTATATTCACTTGAAGAATCAAACCCAAGTCTTCTGCACGGGAGTCCATTGTCTTACTAAGAGAGCTAAATCACCAGTAACATCTTTTGTATCTGTAACATTTATATGATAACAGCTGAAACAACGTTCAAAGAACGGTATGGAGAGAAAAATGGCTATTTTGTTGCTAATTTGCAGGAAATATCTAGAAGAAAGTAGCTAAGGGTCCTCAGAAATGTAGCTAGGTTCATCACTAGGCGTTAGGAACAGCAACAACGTTGCTGAGTTGGCACTACCTCACTCTGCTGTTAAAGCTATGGATAGCAAATGCTACGGGCGATGCCTGAGCGTGAACCATCGACATACATATATGGACAATGGGTTTCCATAGACTCCAATAATAAGTTTTTGTACTAAAATGGGAGGTGGCCACCACCGCCATTTTGACCGTGTCACAGGTTCCGTCAAGCCCAGACAATTCCACAAAAGGGAAGAGAGGTGGAGCTGAGGGTGGGGCTGTAAGGCTGGGATCAACTGACGACACCCGGTCAAACTAGCTACAAGCTAACCTGAAGCTAACCCAAAGCTAATGCGGAAGTGGGAGCTAAGCTAACGGAGGTAGCAACCTAGCTACAACCGGAGTTAACTGTGCACAACACCAGAGCTTCTGGGTCATACGCTGGGCTGACCGCTGGGTAAAACCGGGTGGAACACAGAGGTCTCTGAGACCTCCACAAGCCGGCAGCTGCACAGCAGACAAGCGCCGCTGCAATCCAAGATGCGCAGAGCTGCTGCTGGGGAGAACCGGGTGGAAAGGTTTCCATCCCAGAGCTCCACAAGCCGTCAGCCCGCGCAGCAGACAGAAGCCGCGATCAGACAGAGATGTGCCGAGCTGTGGGGAGGGGAGAACCGGGTGGAAAACATCGGTCTCCCGAGAGCTCCACAAGCCGATAGTCGGAACCCAGCTCCACCAACATGTTATATTTCAACCCATTTTCTAAAGTGCAGCATTATGTTAAATGCACTGGGTTTTACCCTATTACATTTAAATTTCATGATTAAACAGTACATTTTAAAATCTAAGCTCAGCTCGGCAGTGACCTAAAATACATAAATATAATTCTACTTACCAAAAAAATTAAGTGTAGACTCCTTGGATGCTCTATTAGTGCATTTAATGCCACAGCAAGTCATTTTGTCCAACAATTGCACAAAAAATATCCAAAACAGAATACATAAACACAGAGACTCAAAATCCCGGAGCAGTTTCCAGGCCAGACCGAGGCTCTACTGATGCCTTTCCACGGAGCTAGCTCTGTGGTCACGTGGGTCTGATGCTCATTAATTATACAGAATTTTAGGCTTTTAATACACTTAAACAGAAGAGTGAGAAAAATATTCACCCCCCTCAGAGTTGTCATGAGTGTAAACTAGATAATTTAAACCAAAAACATGTTTTGGTACCAGGCTGTAAACATGTTTATTTCTGCTGTGAAATTGTTATTTTTAACATGGGAGTCAATGAGGATTTGCTCGCTTCTGACACCAGCCCCTAGTGGATGAGGGTGGAACTGCAATTTTTGGTACTTCCGGGTTGAGACCAATTTTAGAGCCGCATTGTGGGGGCTTGGTGTGAATGCGCATGAAGCAGCCTGCTCGACCCGAGCAGCTCTCTTTTTCTGTGATTTTACAGAAAAACAGGCAATCACAGTAAAAATGCCAGGGCTCATTCTACAGGACCATGGCATTGCAGGAGAATGTATGAAAAAGAAATGTATTATTTCTATACATGTTTTGGCTGTCAAACTTCCATAATGCCCCTTTAAGGTTTGGGCAGAAGGATTTATCCATCAGTCGTCACCAGAGAACAAAGTGGATGCGGGCACGTAGGTGCCGGTAGATTGAACTGGTATTTAACAGGGTACATATCTCGACATAACAACGGGTCACTCCAAACAGAACGACCGGAACAAACTGAGGATCTAGCTCCTAAACAGGTCTGTGTCACTGGATTAGCTCATCTGGGGTGTAATCTAACACATCTGGCTTGTTTTGTTACTATCCCAGCTCAGTTCTGAGCGTTGTTTAGAGTTCACTAAGGAAGGACTTAGCGTTTTCAGACTGGATCAGGATGTTCTGGAGGAATTTTGTTCTCTCGATAAATAAAATCCTTTAAAAACGTTTTACTCATTGCTGAGGTTATGCTGAGGAAAGTAAAGTCTGTCAGTCTGAAACATTTCTGTTGCAAAGCTGCAGAATCAACTGCTCTTTTCTTCACTCAGTACACGCCACAATCCTAAACAAACATAAATAACTCGAGTGTGACCTTTACTCCTCTCCTTGTGACGATTCCCTCTGTGGGATTATTTTATTTTCCCGTGAGAGAAACATCCTGCTGTTCTGCTCTCTGTGCCCCCCGCCCCCCCACCACATTCCCTCCTTCCCATGTGCTTGCCCCACGTCACCGCTGATCTCATCTCATTCACAGAAAACGTGTTCTTTGTCAACAGGCAACGCCGCCGTGGTGAAGCCGTCTGAGCTGAGCGAGTGCTCATCCCTCCTGCTCCGGGCGCTGCTGCCTCGCTATGTGGACAAGGTCTGAGCACCAGCTGGTACCGTTGCACTAATGCTAGACAGGATGACAGTAGAACCTCCCACAGGAACCACTGTTAGAAAGGATTCTCATTTTCATGACTCATAGTTTGTGTTTATGTGCCGCTTTAATCTTGTTAGGGTTATTGAGTGAAAGAAAAATGAAAGATTCTGGTTTATTTTTAGGACCTGTACCCGGTGGTGATCGGCGGGGCGTCAGAGACCCAGGAGCTGCTGAGGCTCAGGTTTGACCACGTCTTCTACACAGGCAGCAGCAGGGTGGGTAAGCTGGTGATGGAAGCTGCAGCTCACCACCTGACCCCAGTGACCCTGGAGCTGGGGGGCAAGAGCCCCTGCTACATCGACAAGAACAGCGACGTCAGGATAGCCTGCCGGTAACACGCTGATCACCGATCCTACTCTAAACATATCTTGTGAAGGTTCGGGTTAGGGTCTGATGTGATCTTTGACCCTGAAAGCTCCAGAGATTTGGACAATGTTAATTGTGATAATTATAGAGGTGCTTGATATTTACCTGTTTGAGTGAAACAGTTCAGGTGAGAACGGGAAAATGAATCAAATTAACCAGATAATCGATGGATGACAGCATCATCAGAGCGTTGAAAGGTTAAACACCAAGCTGTGGTCTCCACGCTTGGCCTTGTCACACCAGGAGGTCTGTTAACAGTTTAAATCAAAGTCGTTTGTAATGTTGAGTTAGATATTAGAAGTTTGCTAGTGAGGAAGAATCCCTCCAGAGAGCTACTGAGACCCGGCAGCCTCACCAGTACCACTAGTTCTGCTGCTTCCAGAACAATCCTCCCACCTGCAAACAGCACAGCCTCGGTTTGTCTCTCTGGCTGTTTTTGAGGGGCTGGAATAAACGAGTTTGATGTTTATATTCAGTGAAGATAATCAGCAAACACTAAAAGTTGTTTGTACTTGTGTGTCTGCAGCTTTAGCAGCAATATCTCCAGCAGGTATTTTCAGGGTTCAGATTAGACCTGTTCCTGATTCACCTCCACTCAGAGTGAAGCTGATGATCACTAACACCAGCTGGTTTGTGTGCAGTCGCGTCACCTGGGGGAAGTTTGTTAACTGCGGCCAGACGTGCATCGCTCCTGACTACATCCTCTGTGAGCCTTGCATCCAGGGGCAGGTGGTCGAATGCATCCGACAAACTCTGCTGGTAACGCTTCAGCTGAGACCTGCTGAGAGTGTCCTCTGCTGGAAGAGCAGCGCGTCCTTATCGGAACCTCTGTGATCTATCGCAGGAATTCTATGGCGCTGACCCCAAATGCTCCCCCGACTACGGCCGGATCATCAACCAGCGGCACTTCAACAGAATCCTGAGTCTGATGGAGGGTTACACCCCTGTAGTTGGTGGACAGAGCGATTCCTCACAATGCTACATCGGTGGGAGCATTTCTAATCTGCTTTTGCTAATCCGCTTTCTATTTTGGTTTAATGGACCCTGGTTCTGTTCTGACAGCCCCCACAGTGCTAAAGGATGTGCCCCCCCACTCCAGGCTGATGCAGGAGGAGATCTTTGGTCCTGTTCTGCCCATTGTGACTGTCAGCGACATGGATGATGCCATTAGCTTCATCAATGAGAGAGAGAAGCCCCTGGCCCTCTACGTCTTCTGCTCAGACAAGAAGGTGAGACACAGAAAGCAGCTGCTAAAGGTTGCAGCTTGTCTTTATCTCAGTCCATTATCATCCCTGTCTCACCTCCATCCCACCCCCATCTCACCCTCGTCCCGCCTAGGCAATAAAACGGATGATTGAGGAAACCACCAGCGGTGGAGTGACAGTCAATGACATCATGATGCACTACACACTCAGCTCGCTGCCTTTCGGTGGTGTTGGTGAGGACAACGACAAACTTTGTGTGTGTGTGTGTGTGTGTGTGTGTAAGAGACAGAGAGAGAATCTTGTAGTGTAAAGTGCTTTGAGTGGGATTATACGGTACATTCATCATTAAACCTCTGTATTCAGTATTGTTGGACTGACATCATTGCTCACCAGCCTGATACTCCTCATCCATCAGTGGACCTAAAGGAGTCTTTATATAAATTTAGAGCAGAAGTCGTCGTCTTTTCTCACAAATGATTAAATGTAAAGTTTGTTTAACCCAACTCTCCCATTGGATAATTACTGCGTGGGCGATTGTTTTTCAGCTGGTAACAAGTTATTTAAACACAACTGGTGCAATGAGTTGCTTCTCATTTCTTAAGCAAACATGTGGAAAGACACATCTGGTGGTGGCGGAAAAGACGTTTGTCTGTTTGAGAAGGGTCAGATCGAGAAAACATCTAAGGAGATGCAGAAACGACTAAAACTGGGTTAAGAACTGTCCAACACATTATGAAAATCTGGTCTGAGGAGTCCAGATGGACCCTGTTCCAGAGTGGTGGGTGCATCAGGGTAAGAAGAGAGGCAGATAAAGTGATGCACCCATCATGCCTAGTGCCTACTGTACAAGTCTGTGGGGGCAGTGCTATGATCTGGGCTTGCTGCAGTTGGTCAGGTCTAGGTTCATCTACAGGATGTGCTCCAAGAATGAGGTCAGCTGACCACCTGAATATACTGAATGACCAGGTTATTTCATCTTCCCTGATGGCACGGGTACATTCCAAGATGACAATGCCAGGATTCATCAGGCTCAAATAGTGAAAGAGTGGTTCAGGGAACATGAGACGTCATTTTCACACATGGACTGGCCACCACAGAGTCCAGACCGTAACCCCATTGAGAATCTTTGGGACGTGCTGGAGAAGGCTTTGTGCAGCGGTCAGACTCTACCATCATCAGTGCAAGATCTTGGTGAAACATTAATGCAACACTGGATGGAGATAAGTCTGGTGACGTTGCAGAAGCTCATCGAAACAACACCACAGAGAATGTGTGTGTAATCAAAGATAAAGGCGGTCCAATGAGATATTAGAGCATGTGACCTTTTGTTTGTCAGAGACTTCTTACCTTTAATCCATTTATAGTCTCAGGGGTCTGTTCACAGTTTGTTTAGTTCCTGTTTAAACTCTGATGTTGTTTTTAAGGAAACAACAACCATTTTGCACCTTGTTATCGTCATGTCTTTAATCTTTTTTCGCAGTTTTTTCACTTTATTCACTTCATAACTCGATTTATGAGCTTAAATGCTTAGATGTCTTTGCATGAATTAAATACTTGAGTTGAGATTGACATATAGTGGAAATGTTGTGTCAACAGCATACTGATAAAAATGTTGATGTGTCAAATACCTCATTTCCAGGTGGTTTGTGTGTGTGTTTCTCCTCCAGGTCAGAGCGGGGTGGGCTGTTACCACGGCAAACACACGTTTGACCGGCTGAGTCACCACAGAGCGTGCCTCGTGCGCTCTCTGAACATGGAGAGTGTGAATCTGGCTCGTTATCCTCCTCAGGATCGTCGGCGGGCGCGTAGAGCTCGAATGGCCCTCAGGTCTCCTCTGATTGATATGTCCAAGCGGACGCTGATCTGGGCTGTTGTTGCCACCATCCTGGGCGTGTGTCTGTCCATCGCCCTGCTGGTGATCCTGCTCATCGCCGCAGGCCTCAACTGTACCTGCTGGTACTGGAGAGGCTTCTATAACTGAAGACGCAGCAGCATGTCTCTTCACGTGACCCACACACTCTTGTTACACACAGATACGTAGGGAGGGCATAACCTTTTGATGTTCTTGAGCTAACTTTTATTTGCTGTGTGTTCATTTTGTACCGGATGTTCAACACTGAAAATGCTGTTTGAGCATTTTTAGGACAAAATTTACTTCCTGGGGAAATAAAGGTGTAAGCAGTTTTGTTCCAATATTAAAAGATTTAATAATAAAATATGGTTTCTGCTTTCTGCCATGGCAACGCACACACAAACACACGCTTGTTCTCACACAAATGACTAAATTGAGGCTTAGCTGCATTCCCAAACAATAACCATGCCATTTAAATCACTGGTTCCCAAACTTTTCAGCTTCAGACTACAAAATGGCAATTGCCAAAACATGCAACCCCAGATATCTCTGATGGGACAAAACAAACATGCATACAATGCTTAACAATTCTGGGGATAAGAAAAACTGCTTCAGTTTACGTTCAATCGTTATACATTTATCACAAAATAATTAAAACCTAATAATTAGTGTAGAGATATAGCTTCAACAATTGGTTTTCAAATTTATTTGGGCTTTTTGAAATAATCTACACGAAGGCTAAATCATCATCATCATCACCCTCATCACCCTCATCATCATCATTATCATCATAATCATGCTTTTCTTCATCATAATCATCATATTCATTATTACCATCATCATGCTTTTCTTCATGATCATCACCACCATCATCATCATCCTATTCATTATCATCATCATCGTCATCATCATGCTTTTCTTCATCATCACCATCATTATCATCATCATCATCATCATCATCAACCTATTCATTATTATCATCATCATCATCATGCTTTTCTTCATGATCATCATCATCATCATCATCATCAACCTATTCATCATCACCATCATCATCATCAACCTATTCATCATCACCATCATCATCACCATCATCATCATCATCAACCTATTCATCATCACCATCATCACCATCATCATCATGCTTTTCTTCATCATCATCATCATCATCATCATCATCATCATCATCAACCTATTCATTATTATTATTATCATCATCATCATCATCAACCTATTCATTATTATCATTGTAGCGTGAGGAAGTATGGGTTTTCTGTGCCAAAGGTCGTATTTTCCCGGCTGGGTCAAAGCTGGGTCACCAGCACCTTCACCCACAGATTAAAACCTGAGCCTACAGCAAGTCTGAAGGACTCCACAACATCCAACACCTGCTCTTCAGAAGAAGGACTTCTCACACAGTCTAGTCATAATAAAACAGAGTCTAAAGCTTTCTTTGTTTATTAATGCTAAATAATCATTTTATCACTTTGCTCATATAAATGTATTTTAATCAAATGAATGATTATTATGCTTTGGGTAATCATAATGAACTATAATGAATCAGTACTTAATTAAATAATGTTTTTGAAGATGTTTAGCAATGACCTTCACACCTGCTCACACAGGTCCGTATCCACAGTAACTCAAAACACATTTGCTCTGACGCACAACAAGTTTGCTTTGGGAAGAGAAGTGTTTTGGGTAAGGAGTCAGAACGAGGGTGAGAACGAAAGAGAGAGGAAGTGCGGAACGAACGCCACGGGGAAAGGAGCCCTGCAGGCTCCTGTTCTCCCACCACGCTATTTCTGTCAAGCCAGACAGAATAGCAGAAATGCAACCGCTAACGCAGACTCGTCCCAGAGTCTTTTGATTTCTGAGTTAATTTAAACATGAGAAAGCGCATCTGCCGAAACGCTTCAGCAACGTGTACCGAGGTCAACTCTGGACCGGATCGTCGCACACCTTTGTCTCCTCTGCCAGCCAAGGTGTGACCTGGATAAACATCCTCCGAGGTCCGGATCTAAACGGGGGTCCTAAGTACGGTGAGGCAGAACACGATAGATAGCGTTCTGATGCTGTTTTTCTAATAAGAACTAAAGTTTAAATGCAAAACATCATTTTTCACTCAGACACCTTTTCTCTCCCTGAAGCATTCTCAGACACCTGCATGCACGCATTCATAATTCCATCATCCTCAATCTTAGCACATCCAACACAAGGTCTATTTGTGCAAGCTTAAAATATCAACTGTTAAAGATTGTCCAACAAGGTTGCCAATGTTGATTATTTTTCCTATGATTGTCATTTCAAATCGTTAGTTTAAATTGAAGAATTAAAACTCTTAAATTTTGAACTTGTCTCTTCATTGAACTGAAACACAAACGGATACGATCGTCAGTTTATCGATGAAAACAACCTTTGAGTCTTCTTATCTCTATAACATTTGGTTATTAATTTGTAAAAATTAATATTCAAGATTATTATGTTGAATGGTTCAGCTTTCATAAAAGAGCCATCAACCATTATGCTACATCATCATCATCATCAACCTATTCATTATTATCATCATCATCATCATCATCATGCTTTTCTTCATCATCATCATCAACATCATGCTTTTCTTCTTCATCATCATCATCATCATCATCAACCTATTCATTATTATTATCATCATCATCATCAACATCAACATCATGCTTTTCTTCATCATCATCATCATCATCATCATCAACCTATTAATTATCATCATCATCATCATCAACCTATTCATTATTATCATCATCATCATCATCACCAAATTTAGGACTTAATTGCCTGGGTACAAATATGTTCGTGTTTAAAGTGAAATTAAATAACATTGGTTTTAAAAATAGCCTCATCCTAAATTAGCTTTGACTAAGACTAATGGACCTGTTAGGAAAAATAGTCCTAGCTGAAGTTTTATTTGACATTTTAGTTAAATCACGTTTTCATCATTGATTACCCTTATCCAATCACATAATTTGGCACAAACCCAATTCTTTCTTTCTTTTTTTTTCAAAAGGTAGTTTTGATTCATTTATGATTTCATGACTTAATTTTCTGAAATGAGGAAAAACACGATGTAAATGACCAATATGCAGAAACGTCATCTAAAATCTGGATAATTGAGAAGAGTGGGCCTCACCAACTGGTTCCCAGGATCAGGATCTCAGGTCCAGGATGGATCAATCAGCTGGAGATGAGCAGCTGTGACTTCCACATGTGTGGAGAGGGATTTAGTTAACGAGGAAGGGGGAGGAGCCAATCTGGCTCTGTGTTTAAGAAGCTGAGGAGCAAAGTGTGTGTGTTTGTGTGTAACAATGGAGTCCAGTCAGGTCATCGTGTTCAGCTTTGTTCTTGTGTTGGTTGGGCTGAGTGACTCTCGCCTCCCCAGTATGAGACCAGCAGCCCACTGGGCGGCCGTGATGCACTCTCCTGGTGAAGTGCAAGTCCGGTCAGCAGCAGGAGGACCTGAGAGGAAACACTTCAGTGTGTTTATGAAGCCGGCCAACAGGTTCCTCTCAAAGCAGGTCCAGTCCAAAGGAGATGAGTTCAAGTGGACGTTTCCAGAGGACTCCGTGTCTCCAGTGACCCCAGCGATCGAGCCTCTTGTCCCGTTCAACGTGCTTCAGCCGGCCGTGTCCAGTCGGGTGGCTGTGAGGTGTGGGGAGAGCAGGATCCAGGTGGAGGTGAGTCAGGACCTGCTGGGCCTGGGCAGACTGATCCATCCAGATGACATCACACTTGGAGGCTGTCCACCAACTGAGATGGACCCCTCTTCTAATGTTCTGATCTTTGAGTCTGAGCTGCATGACTGTGGCAGCACACTGGAGGTATAAAGTTCTCCTCGGACTGATTCACCTGGTTGTATCTAGTTGTCTGAGCCACTTGTTGTTGTTTTGCAGGTATATGAGTCTGGATTTGTTTATGCCTATAAACTGGTGTATGAGCCCAGGATGCTGGACTCCAGTCCCATCACGAGGCGCCAGAGAACCGTCATCAGAGTGGAGTGTCACTACGCCAACTAACCCCTAGCAGCTCAAAGCAGGAGTCAGCTGATTACTGGAAATAAATATTTTACATGCTTTGTGTCTTAAATCTGGATCTTGTTGTGACTTGGCTTTAGAGTTGAGCTGTGACTCACATTTTGCAGTTTGAGAAAAGCAGGCCTTTAACTCAAACTGTTAGAGCTCTTAATGTTGGTGCATGTTGTCCTGAATTATACCGCACCAGTTTAACAAGCACGTATTGTCTTGTACTAGTGGATGTTCTCCTGAACCAAAATGGTTGCTTACTGGTACCGGCAAAAAGTTCAAGACCAGCTGTAGCAACCGGTAGAGTAGAAAGTCCAAGCTGAACGTGGGCTGTGCTCTGCTCTAGAAGTTAAATCTAAACTTGTGTCTGTTTGCTACAGTATTGCTTTAAACAGATTTGTTTAAGGTTGACATAGTCTTGAATTTTTCTACCTATGGAAATAGTTGTGGATGGCAGGCAAAGACAAAATGTTGCCTTTAAAACCTCCTTGGGCAGCTGGGGCTACAATGGAGCTCCTCACCAGTGATTGAAGTGAGGAACACCTGGTGCATCTCTACCAGTGCAGTGAACTAAAAAATAAGCTGATTTCTGATGGAATGACTCCATGTATGGACATTTAAGGTCTAACTTCTCACCTAAAACCTGTAAAAATGCCAGATTTACAGTAAACGTCTACCTGCACTTGCCTTCAGCATAGCTTCACACATTATGGAGATTAAAAAAATCAGATAAGGTGATCTGGAGCCCAGAGATGAAACACACCTGTCAAAGGTGGAGTTGGTAGAATTTATAACATGCAGAGAAAGTTCAAATCCAGGCTACAGATTTTATGTGGTGTTTGCATGTTGTCTCAAGCATGTTTCCTCCCACAGTCCAAAAATAAGCCCGTTGAGGTTAGCTGGAGACTAAGGCCCTGTCCACACGTAGCCGGGGATCTGCCAAAACGTAGATATTTTTATACGTTTTGGCCTGTCATCCACACGAAAACGGAGTTTTTTCACACGATAACGGATCTTTTTAAAAACTCCGGCCAAAGTGAAGATCTGCGTTTTCTCCGTTTTGGGTGTCTGCGTGTGGACGGACAAAACCGGAGTTTTAAGGTCCGCAACGTCACTTTCCGCGACAAAAAATGCTGACATCACGTGTGCGACCTGTGTTTACACTAGCCGGCATCTGAAGCCCTCAGAGCTGCGCTCTGTCACTAACCGATCCATCAATTGTCCAAGCGCTTTGTGCTTGTTTGTTTTTGCAAGCGGAATTACTGCTCCTTGCGGAAGACCACAGACTAAGGACGAGGTTAAGAACGGG